CACGTGCAACGTAAACTGTCACGTGACCATGAAGCGCTGAAACCGTAACACTTCGCGTGCCCACAGTGAAAGCTCTCAAAACACATCTTTATCATACAAAGCCCTTCGCGATTCTTCTGCTGTCAGTCGACACGAACGCTGTCCTTCCACAGCGCAATTGCATTGGCGACCTACTACTTGGAGTTGCTGTTGCTGTAGGTCTGGCCACCCGGGGACGTGTACTGCGAGTATCCATCCCCGCTGTTATAGTAGCTCGAACCATTCGGGTTGCTGTAGTAGTAACTCCCGTCGCTGGAAAGGGTCATCAGGTCGGTCACAGCAGACATGACGGTCGGCACTCACTTGTTGGAGTAGTGATAGCCACTCGACCCATCGTCAAAATCACGGTGGCAGTAGTGGTTGCCCTGCAGCCGGACAATCAGCGGCGACCCCTACAGAGAAGGCACGCGTTAGGGGGAATGAAGGTAACGAACCTGATCATTCGTGCCGGTGCTTGTAATGTCGTAGTCACCAGAGCTGCTGCCGCCTTTGCCGGACATGGTGTGCGAGGGAAAGGGGTATGACTGAGCGACAGAAGGCGGTGACGATGGTGGGAGAAGAAGAAGGTTGACTGCTCCTGACATCACCTATATAGTAGGACTGCCCGGGAACTTCCGACGTCGATCACCTTCTGACGCACCTTCTCGCAGTTGAAGAAGAGGCTGTCTTTCAGCTAGACTTCTCTAGAACGATGCGCGGCGCACGAGATAGACACACGGCCAGCTTCTTCTTGATGCCATGAGGCTGCTATCTCTGCAGTTTCGCGCTCACTATCGGACGAGATGCGTTGAAGCCCGCTTCATGTAAGACATGCACGAGAACGGACTGAGAACCAAGTGCAGTACGAGGAACGCCGTCGCCGTGCAAATCTCGATGTCGCTCGCTTGAATTAGATACCAGGGCCACCTTGAGACACGGGCAGAAAATAATCAAACCGTACGTAGAACGAGGGCGCCGATAGTGGTCGCGGTCCGGACGAGTTTGTTCGGTATCGAACGTTGACGTTGAGTATTGAATTACAGAATTTGGAAGACCAGAACATTTGCATGCAATACGATCCTCAGTCGCAATACAGGCGGTTAAAACGATGATAAGGAGACACAGCGGTTATTAGACTCCAGACTACAATCTCCGATCCTAATGAGACGCAGTGTGACAGGCTGTGACTGACGCGTTCGACTCAGCCACAGACGCGACAGGGGCCACCCTGGACGAGAGTACATAGTGCAAATCACTCAGCATCCACTCTGAATTTCATCTGGAATTATTGCCTCATTGTCTGGAAACAGTGTCCCATCATAACCTGCGGACGTGTCGCACTTAGGAGATACTAACGGACTGCGAAGACTCCTACTACCAGCTAATTTGCACTAGCCGAACTACGGGAGACCCTTCATACACAGTCAGGCCGCAGAGGATTAAATAAATTGCAAACTTCAAAGCATCACGACTTCGCATGCCCACAGGTAATGTTCTGAAAACACAACTTTATCATACAAAGCCCTTTTCCATTCTTCTACCTGCCATCGTTTCACAACCTTCCACAGCACGATTGCATTGGCGACCCAACACTTGGAGTGCTGTTGCTGTAGGTCAGGCCACCCGGGGATGTGTACCGCAAATATCCGCTCCTGCTAAGATAGTAGCTGGAGCCATTCGGGTTGCGGTAGTAGTAACTCCCGTTACTGGAAAGAGTCATTACGTCGGTCACAGCAGACATGACGGTCAGCCACTCACGTGTTAAAGTAGTGATAGCCACTCGATCCATCGCTAAATTTATGGCGGCAGTAGTGGTTGCCCTGCAAGCGAACGTCCAGTGGCGAACTCCTTTTGCAAAAGGCACGCGTTAGGGGGAGTGAAGGTAACGGACCTGACTATCGTGCCAGCGCTCGTAATGATGTAGCCACCAGAGCTGTCGCCTTTGCAGGACATTGTGTACGGGGAAAAGTGGTATGGCTGAGCGACAGAATGTGGCGATGATGATGGTTGAAGAAGAAGATTAACGGGTCCTGACTCCTGAGGGTCACTTTATAGTAGCACCGCCCGGGAATTTACGTCGACTCCACCTCTGACGCACCTTTTGCCGCATGAAGAAGACGGCCGCATCTTGGCAGTTAGACTTCTCTAGAACCGTCATGTGCGGCGCACGATAGACACACCGCCAGCCTCTTCTTGTTGCTACGAGGCTGCTATCTCTGCAGTTTTCGGACGAGAGGGGTTAGCTTGCTTCATATGAGGTATCAAGAAAACGCATTGAGGACCAGGTACCGTATTGAGGAACGCCACTACCGTGCATATCTCGATGTGATCACCCCTTACACAGAGACGCTCTCTCTTGAATTAGCCGCGGCACGCGCCACAGACGCGTCGCACAACTTGCTAATTAGGTCACGTGGGTCGCGTTTTCAGGATGTTCTGAGCTCAGTCTTGCAAATAAGATAAATAAATGTTGCTAGGCTCACAAGAGGCTGCTGCTGTTGGGAGTGGCCGACCGATGACACTCTTGGTGGAACGCGCTCAACGCGTGGGGAAGGACGAACGCCAAGCGACGGCTGAAACACGTCGCAGGGCGGCACCTGGAAACGGAGCGGGCGAGTACGGAAGGATGGAAATCATATAAATACGCACCTGTAGTACTGTATCCCTAGTCATTCGTGGCCTTAAACGGCCTCTCACTCCTCGCGCACACGAGACAGGAAGGTGGCGTCTGGCTAATACCGAGGCCGCACCATAATTCCCTAGAGCTGCTTCCTACCTTAACTCCTCTTATTGTTTTTTCACCAGTGTCAATGTTGTGCATCCATCGAAAGCGACGTCGTGTACGTTTCCCATGGATCTATACAGGTCCGCCGGCCTTGGACTCGGAGAAGGTGGTCACTTTCCTCAGCGACTCGAGGTCGGAATCTCAGGTTTGGCTGATTTAAGATGTTGAAACACTTCTTGTGAACCAGGAACACTAGGTGAAAATGTCAAATTCTTGCGCGGAGGCCCTGTCTCGTACGAACTGCCGATATACATTCGCATGTTGAGAGTGTGTACTTGTAGATTGAATAATAATGGGCTTACAAGACAGCTGAACACAATTGCAAGCCGATCTTCTCGCTATGTATAGAGAAAGATCAGCAGCAGTCTTTCATATCTGGAATGACGACCTTAGATGAGCAATTCAGCTAACTTTACGCTCCCGCAGAAACGAGCGATCTCTGTCATGTATATCACATAGACACGCCTTGCTTTGCATCGTATCCGTATTGCACTGTTATGCCAATTGCAAGAAAGCACAGCCAAAATGCCGGATGATATGAAACTATGCCGAGTGTTTGGTGACGATGAACATATGAAGTATGACGGAGCAGTCGCAAAACGGTGGACGATGAGGTATATGTGGAATTACACTGGCTCTATAGCATGAACGAAGGGTGAGATATCAATGATAAATAGTAATGGTGCAGATACATTAGTTCCTCCTAGTATGCGGGATGAGTATACCTAGAGTAGCCTTAGCAGAACGTCAACATATGTGTGGAAGCATTCAACAAGAGGAAGTATCATAGCCCACGCTCTTAACAGTCTATGACGCACTTGCCATGATGGCTTGTGTCTTCAGGTTCGCCTCGTTCAAAGCCTTCTCGAATGCTTGCAAATGTTCCTGGACCAACTTCCTCCCATCTATCCTCCGTGTGCTATGTAGCCTCGGTGTGCCCGTAGAGCCTCCTTCTATCCCTGCCTCCCACTGCTGAATCTTCGCGCGACTGCGCTCCGCGTTCTCCCACTCCGCCCGCCATCCACCCAGCTTGTTCTTCAGCGCACGAATTTTCCGCCCTGCCTCTGTGGTCGCTGCTGCGTTGACCTGAGCGTGTTCCGAGATGACGGCGAGGGATGTTACAGCAGATGACGTGAATGTGCGCAGGTAGGCCAGCTGAGGCAGAATACTCGCTGGAGTTGGTGATCCCTTCAAAGGTGGGGGTGGCGGGAACGATGACTTGACTGGCGTCGAAGGATCGTATTCATCGTCCTCGTCGTTGAGCCGCTCTCCATCGAGGTCCGTCTCCCAGTCATTGGCCAGGGTCGAGCCTGAGAAGGACTCTTCCGGAATGGCCTCCAAATCGCTGTCCGCGTCCGCGCTGCGCGGTGGCTCATCTAGCAAGTCGTCCAGCGCGTCTAACCGACTAAGAGCCTCGGTCCCGCCAACCTCGCCCGCGATCTTCCTAAACTCACGTTCGCACTGCAGCAGTTCGCGCACCTGTCCTTCTCGTTCATGTGCAGTGTCATTGATGCGACGAATCATATCCGATGCGAGCTTTTCTAGGTTTGGCTGTGTGGGGGACTGGCCATGGTCTGCGTCGAGGTGGCGGAGCTGTGTGAGGAACTTCTCAGTGTACTCCAGATCCTGCGCGAGCACATTCATCGGATCTTTATCAGGCTGCATCCTCTTCCGAGGCGATGGGGTAGGGCTATGGAAGGCTGGGTCCACATCTGGAGGTACGCGTTCCTGAAATGATGTCAACGTGTGGCCACCATTCAGCTCAGCATCCGGATTGTATTCATCCTGCATTGCCGGGGGCTCCATGACAGCAGCATTTTCTCCCTCAGGATCCTCATCTATGCCCTCAGCACCTTCGTCATACTCGATTCCAAATTCTTCCGCTAGCAATCGGGATCCGGCGCTGGGCTCTGGCATCAATGCCACTGCCAATTCATGTGCCAACGAATATCTTGCATTAGGCCCCTCCTCGCTCATTGACTGTGCCATGGAGGGAACGCGGAGTGGTGTCGATGAGTGGCGCGAACCGCTGCTTTGGCTTTGCCGAGAGGCTGTTCTGCGCGGGAGAGATGCTGACGCGCTGGAGAGGAAACGCGAAGTGGTCGACCCGAAGACATCGTCGTGGTCGGCCATGGAAGCCATCCCAGCAGCTTGTATACGTGAGTCGACTAAAGAAAGAGCGCGCTGGAGGTAAGACAATGAAGGAGAGAGGGAGGAGAGTTGATTCTGACTTTGTGATTGACTGACAGACGGTCGCTCTGTGTTTCTGATTTGGCAATCGGGTTACGTGTCACGTGCGTTGTGGCTGCACCATCTGAGATTTCCGATCTACGAGATCCAAACAAGATCTCAGGTTTGTGCTTAAGGCATACACCGAGGCAAACTCGACGAACTGCTTCCGCCGCGTATTTCAACCGTAAATATTGAATTTCTACCCAACGCAGTAAGTACAACAAGCCACGGCTTATATATTGTCCAGGGCGTGACGCTCTTCTACAGCAAGCGCGATGATTGTCTACCGTGACCGTCCAGTTCCAGCGTTTCTTGACCTAGACCTCTGCAGCCGTTGTGAAACCGCAATGGGGATAATGCCGCTGGGGAACAACCCTGCGAGCGCCCCGCCGTAGTCATCTACCTCCAATATGTCCCACACTCCGGGCTCTTGCAATTCGAGTAACGCTTTCACCGACTCGCGCCCGCGTATCACCGGCTTCCATGCCGTATCTCCCGTCCGCTTACACCAGCCGACCGCATCGACGAAGGAGAAGGTCGTAACAGAAGGAAAGGCTCTTGCGAGATGCTTGGTGACCATTTGATGTTGTAGGGGCAGGTTGAGCTGCCACACGGCATGGAGGAAGCGAAGGTCAATGTGGGTAAGCAATCGACTGCCTGCCAGCGAACAAAGGCTGTGGACGACCTATGGTGATTTTGAAATGGTGAGAAAACATTTTCACCACTTGATCTGATTGACGCGTACGTACAACTTCTAGAGGCGTATCAAGCGTGTGCATCGGATAACAGATCGATAGCTTCGTCAACTTGGGCGTGTATTCAAGCAACTTTGGATAGGCGTGAACCAACCACGCCGGCACCTCGAGTTCCCGCAAATGAAACCGTGCCAGTGACTGTAGCAGGCTCTGGTTTGCGCATAGGCTCGGTATGAGCCAATCACGGAAGTCAAGCAGACTCAGGCGCCATAATGGCTGTTTCTTCAGGAACGTGTCAAGCAAATATGGTGGGCAACGTAACTCCTGGAGCTTCGGCAATGCTGTCCTAGCTAACGACAGCATCGGTGCATCCAGTGCTTCGCCACCGCCGAGCGGGTCTTCTTCCATTACGCCGATGATGGAAAGATCTATGATGGTCGGGGTGCGATTTAGGAAGGCGAAAAGCATGCATGCCTCCCGCGGTTCAAAGGGGATCTCTAAGCACTGCAAGGCGGATACCACTCCGCTTTCCATGACCGCTCGGGCGAGTCGCCACTCGGTCGTCTTCAGCGAGCGGAGCGCTGGCGATTTGGCGAGCGATGCTAGCGCTGAAATGTAGGGGCCCACAGCCTCGACAGCTGTCACCTCCACACTTGTTAGGCGCGCTAAGCTGCGGCTCGGCGATCGGGTTCCCGGTCCTGCTTTACTGAATGCACAGGACCTGATGGACAAGCTCTCTAGCTTGTGCAGGTTCGTTGCGGCCCGAAACAAGTCCAATGTAATCGGCGTGCGAACAAGCGATAGGTTTGTAAGGTTGGGAAAGCGCGGGATAATCTCTATGTGTCGCAGGAGATCGGGACACGGAGACGACGGATCGCCTATGCGAAGAGGCAGCCAATTGAAGACTTCGAGCCTTTTGACAAAGGTTCCGAGCAAGCACGCCGTCTCGTCGCCTCTGCTGAGCTGCGTGAACCATTTGGTGCGTGGATTCTGCAACATTCTTTCGGCCTTCATGTCCGCGTTACCGACGAATGCCACGAGGTCGAAGAGCTTCGGGGTGCTCAAAGCGGCGAAGAGGCGGCATACCAGGCTCAGATTGAACAAGATCGCCTTGCGCTCCGGGACGGGGACTTCCCCCGCATCATCGCACAACTCATCCACGATGAGCATATACACGTCGATGGGGATCGGAGGAAGATGCCTGTTCCCAATACGCCGCGCGGGGCCTGCGATCATGCGAAGGATCTATTCCAGAAGCATTCCACACTCGCGAAGCAAGCACTTACTGGTCGAATTGCGGACTGCCATTTCTCGTGGGTACACGCGTGCTTGGATAGAAACAAAGGCTCTCAGGAGGGTGTGGCGGTTCAGAGAAGCAGACACAGGGAGTCCGGCGCAGACAAGCCCTTATGAAGTCCCCCTGGGCGCGTAACCATCACCCAACCTTCCGTCTGCTGTCCTCGCCGGCGCCTGCGGGCGTTCTGTGGAATCAAGCCATCTATTCGGAGCACATGCCGCGGCCCAACAGCTCGCTTACGGGCGCCACGATCAAAGTGCATTTAGCCTCCACGCACGGGCGGCGCCACGCAGGCGCTTGCCTTTGGTCGCCGACGCGTCTTAGCGCCTCACCGTGGGCGCGTCAAATATTCGTCACGCCCCTCGTGCAAGGCTCCGTGTTCCTATCCGCGCTCATCCTAAAGCCGCGACTGCACGCCCATGCGGATCTGGCGCTTGACGGCTGCGGATGCCGCTCACCATACCCCAAACAATTCGAAATCTCGCCCTGGTTTCACCGGAGTCTCGCGATGCGTGGACCTAGACGCAAGAGAACTCCGCTACGGGCGAATCACCGCCTGTTCCGTCGGAGGCGCTCAGCGAAGTGAAGGCGTTTGCAGTGGCGTGCATTATGCCAGGTGACGGCGATGTTATAGAATCTATTCGTTGGTAAGGTACTGTCATACTGAACGTGAACTCTATCGGGCAGTCTGATGCGGCTCTACAGGTCAAGAAAGCTGTGCGAAGATCACTGTCACTTTAGTAATACTCCCGGGATCTAAGAAAGGCGAGCAGATGACAGCATGCGGATGTGGGCAGGAAGACGATCTTCCATGAAAGTTCTCTAGGGTATCAGCAAGATCTAGTAGTCGCGGTACTTGTCTAGGATGTCGACGTAATACTTGGCAAGGTCGGCTCCCGAATCCGATGCGTGGAGCTTGTCTAGGTTTCCCGTTGCGGTGTCTGCAGGCGCCGAAACATCCATCGTGACCAGCGATGGAAACAACAGACGGATGAACGTGCGGAACGACGATGCAGAGCCTGCTGTTGGCGGAAGCCTCCCAATCCGTACGTATCGCAGCGCTTGCTGTGAGAACGCGACGGGACGCGGGCGCTCGGCCGTATTCGCAGGCACGGGAAGAATGATAGAAGAACTGCTTGTGATGTCAGGGATCTCAACGGGTAGCGCCAGGGAGCGCAGCATTGGACAGGATCTTGCGAGCGCCGCGTACGAACAGGTTGTCATGCGACGGCTGCAATCCTCATCGTCGAGCGTGCCAAGGTCGAGATGCTCCAGATGAGGCCACCATGAGGCGATTTCCTCTATATCTTTGTCGCACAGGTCCGGCGGCTTGGTCGCCGCCACGCTGAAGCGTCGCAGGAATTGCAAGCGTGCGAGAGGGCGTAGGATGGCTATTGTGAACCAATCCGACGTTTCGCGCGCAGATTCAGGGTCGTCTATCTCGTCGAAGTCAGGGAAGTGCTGTATGGCAAATTCCTGGAGGCTTCCTGAGACCCGCGCAGACAGGAGTTCACACACGTCGTGGAGAGATGATACGCCAAGAGGACAATCAGCATCCAAATGGATCGAGCGCATGACATCCGGCGGGACGAGCGGCAAGAGAGCGACAAGTAGTGCCGGCTCTGCTCGAATGGTGAGATGCTGTAGCGAGGGGAAAAGCTGTGAGACGGAACATGGGAGGGCCATGCGGAAGTCGATGGCGTCTATGTGTTGAGCGTTAATGTCTAGTTCTGATAGATGCGGGAATGCCGCTGAGATCGTGGCGAAGGTCTCTGCACTCAGACAGATTCCCATGTGCAAGTCAAGACTCCGGAGAGACGTGTACGTGGCAAGCTTCTGATCCAGATGCACTGAGACGCTGCCTCGCATGCGCAGTGAGTGCACCCCTTTCGCGGTCATGAAGAGCTCGTCTAGGTAATCCGCGACAGCGCTGCTCCTGCGCTGCACAGCCTTGTCGGTATCGGCGCTGTCCGGTCTGGGCGAAAACCCGAGATTGATGTCCACTTTGCACACTGCCCTGGAGATGCTCCAACATGCCGACGTTTCGCATCCCGCCTGCGAGAAGCGGACGGATCGGAGGTTTGGCAGGAAGATGAATGGATGGAGCGAAGGCGGCATGCTGATGCTCTCCGTGTGCTTGATGCTCCTCACACGAGCAGCGTGTGAATGGAGCCGTGCAAATGCTGCAGCAGTTACGTTCTCTGGTGACATGAATTCCTTCATGAGGTGGCCATGTCAGGTGTCAGCAGCAATTTAAAAAATGACAGATTTGCCTAACGTACCACGACACCATTCTTCACCCCAAAACCAGGAAGTAAGGACAATAGAGGTCGGAGGCTGTCTAGGCGACACCACAGCCTGTCCTCCGCTGGATCGTACCAGAGCCGGCAGCATCGAGCAAGTTGAGCGAGAGTCCAGCAGTACTCCTTCTCGGTCCAGTGGGAGCACGCTTCTAGGACGATTTCAAAGATCTCGTCGATGCAGAGCGCAGCGTGCATCGCTCTTCTATGTTCGGTGCCGGACTGTGCAGTAGAGGTGGAACGTTAAGAGATGAAAATCATGTTCGGGTCGGAGCCGCTATATACTAATCAGCGACCCGCACAGTGGCCGCCACCGCAAGCGTTTCAAATCCGTCAGAAAATTTTGGCGAAAGAGATTCTCATTGGTCGGCCTGGACGCTCTGATCGAGATCAAAAGGATATAAAGACAGCGAATGCACTGAAGCTGGAGGAAAATGTCGATAGTCCGAGTACCCTCCAGGGTGCACGTTCCTTTCATGACTGCGCGATTCCAGCCGTAGAACAAGAATAATAGAGCGCATATGATAGATAATCGTGTGCTACATACAACAACATGTCCCCTACGTGACTATGAGGCACTTATGCCGTAGGCGGCTTGGTGCCGTCCTGGAAGGTGTAAGTCAAGCCACATTTGCCGCAGTATTGACGGTCCGTGTGGTTAGCCATCTATAGACGAACGTCTTAACAACTGGAAAGTGAATAATCGATAGCGTTACGTACGAAGATACCAGCTCCGCACTCAGCAGTAGGGCACTCCCGACGAAGACGCTTAATCTTGCCGTCGGACTCCACCTGGTAGTACTTCAAGATGGACATCTTGATCTTCTTGGGCTTATGCTTGATCTTCTTGGGGGTCTGTCGAGAGGAGAGTTGAATATGCCACAAGCGACGACTCTACAAGACATGCACTCACGTTGTAGGTCTTTTTCTTGCGCTTCTTAGCACCACCGCGGAGACGAAGCACAAGATGAAGGGTAGACTCCTTCTGGATGTTGTAGTCGCTGAGGGTGCGACCATCCTCAAGCTGCTTGCCTGCGAAGATCAGGCGCTGCTGGTCGGGAGGAATGCTGAAGAGCAACGTCAACACCGAATGCAAGCCGTACAGTACTCGACATCCACTCACCCCTCCTTATCTTGGATCTTGGCCTTGACATTGTCGATGGTGTCCGAGGACTCGACCTCGAGAGTGATGGTCTTACCCGTGAGGCTATAGAAAACGTCAACTCATGTTACCTCACTCTAGCAGCCAATTCTACATACGTTTTGACGAAGATCTGCATCTTCTTGCCGGACGCCTCTGTCTGTCCAACGAGCTAAACGATGGAGTCGTCGACAAGAGCGAAAACGAGTGTGAGAAGGATCAAGCGCCTGAGGATTGTTTTAAAACGCCTGATTGGTCAGTTGCCATTTGAGGCTTGTTGATGGTCCGTGCGCGTTGGTAACAAAGTTCAGGCGGAGTTATATTGTTCCGGCAAGCGCCGCTAAGTGAGACACGTCGCGCGTGACACGCGTTTCGACGCGTCTTGACCTTGCCACACTACGCGTACTTGTCCTTCCTCCACGCGCCGCGGGCAATCCAATAACTATATTCTTGATCGACAGCGCGCAAATATGGACTCTGATGAAGATGTTCAGATGAGGGACGACGAGAGCACTCCTCAGCCCTCGATGAGCAAAGGAAAGGGCAAAGCGGTCGAACACGAGAGTGGCTATGATCCTGAAAACCTACCATGGTGCGTTGACGCATCGATATGTTGACCTGCCGACTGATGTCGCTGTAGGGTAGAGAAGTACCGCCCTGTCACATTGGATGATGTCGTCTCCCACAAGGACATCACGAGCACGAGTGAGCCTCACCTAGTTGTGTCGCACTGACTGTTCTCTGAATACATCCCGATAGTTGAAAGGTTCATTGAACAGAACCGGCTACCTCATCTCCTCTTTTATGGACCTCCGGGGACTGGTAAGACATCCACTATCCTCGCCGTGGCTCGGCGGATATATGGGAAGGATTACCGCAGGCAGATTCTCGAGGTGAGTTGTTGCCTATCAGAACGTTGCACCTATGCTGACTGGTTCACAATGCTCAGCTCAATGCCTCGGACGATCGTGGTATCGACGTCGTCCGTGAACAAATCAAGAACTTCGCAGAGACACGCACGCTGTTTCAGAAGGGCTACAAGCTCATCGTTCTTGATGAAGCGGACATGATGACAACTGCTGCACAATCAGCTCTTCGGCGAGTCATTGAGCAGTATACCAGAAACGTCCGCTTTTGTATCATCTGCAATTATGTGAACAAGATTATACCAGCTATTCAGAGCCGCTGTACACGCTTCCGGTTCTCGCCACTTCCCATAGCTGAGATAGAGAAACGGGTAAACACTGTCATGGAGGCGGAAGGGTGAGTCGTACGGTTTTCCTGTGTGGTTATCACTCAAGCTGCCTTTGGTAGGGTGAAGATTACAGAGGACGGGAAGAAAGCGCTGCTCAAGCTGTCGAAGGGAGACATGCGAAGAGCACTCAACGTCCTGCAGGCTTGCCATGCAGCATACGACCTCATAGGCGAGGAGGAGATTTATCACTGTACGGGCAGTCCACAGCCAGCAGACATTGAGATCGTCGTCAACTCGATGCTCGCGGATGACTTTACTACCTCGTATAAAAGTGAGAAGCTTTCCTTATCCTCTTAATTATCTTTAACGCGTCCTTTGTTGCAGTGATCTCAACATTGAAGGTAGAGCGCGGTCTTGCGCTCCCGGATCTGATCAACGGAGCATATGACTACATCGAGACCATTGATTTCAAGCCACATGCTCGCATATATCTTCTCGACTTCCTAGCGACAACAGAGTAAGTTCGTGTTATGCAATTGACCCCGCTTCTTGACTTTGATCATTTTGCAGACATCGCCTGTCGTCCGGTGCAAACGAGAAGATCCAGTTGACGGCGTTGCTTGGAGCCTTCAAAAACGCAGTGGAGATTTCTTCCAAGTCGTAGTAGTTCATTTCTTTATTATCGTGTTGGATACTGGCAGACTGCTCAATGACAATCTGGACTCGTGATGAGTGATCTGAATGCCTATAATATGTCGATTTGAGTTCGAAAACTGAGGCAAAAATTTGTTTGAATAGCCGTGTCATGTTCGTCGAAAATACATCTGAGATGCCCGACGGTCGCGGATTATTTTGCGATCTCTGCGGCAGCGGCGCGTTTATAAGCCTCCTTGAGACACGGTGGCGCTCCGCGAGAGCCACCGCGGGCCACGTCGCAGGACGCCCTCACGTGGGCGGCCAAGCGCCACTTCTCTGGGTTGCACGAAGGCAGCACGCTCCTTGCGTGCATGCAGCTCTCCACGGTTACCACCTGTTCTACTGGTTGCTTTACAGGCTGAGTCTCGGTTTCGGCTGGACTGCTCATCTTTAGTACATACTGCCGGCTGTCTTTTCTTAGCTTCGCACGATGGCCTTCCCAATCCCTGCACACTTGCCTCGCAAGAAGGATGCTCAGGATGTGTCTACTCAGATTCTCACTAAGGTGTCAGAGACGCCTTTGAAGTCGCTGAATTCGCAGCTCGCATCTTCGTGGGTTGCGGAGCTCGATGATGCCATTGCCCAAACGAAGGTAGATGAGATTCTCTGCATCATAGCCTTCCAATCAACCTGATGCATCGTCGCCGTTCAGTCTTGCATTCATGAGCGAATATCAAACGATCTTCCTGCCTTCAACGAGCAACTCTCCAGTGCAAAGTCTATCCAGGAACGGCTGCGGTCTCTGACTGCCAATGTGGATACGTTGAGCGACGGGCTGTCTAATCCAGAGGTGCGACGCAGCACATCGCTGTATGCTCCCGCTTAACATTTCCAGGTCCTCTGAAGTCAGGTCTCATACCAAGGCTCGTAGTCACGCTCTCCCAGCATGCTCAGCTCGCGCACGAAAGCTTGGACGCAGACATCAAGAGCAGAGCCGTGTCACACCTCCTTCGTTGCAAGAAGGATTACTCCAGTCTGGCCGAGTTGGTTTACAAAGGACAGCTACCAGACGCTGTTAAGACCTGCGTGAAGCTGGAAGCTGTTTTTTCCGAATCTCCTGATCCCCTCGCTCGTAGCGTAATCATGGGTGAACTACAGGTGCGTACTGTCAGATACTTGGTGAATGGAAGACTATAATCATTTCGATATTCAGCGCAGTTTTCGTGCAATGCAGGCCCGAACTGAGGAACAGCTGAGCGACGCATATAGTCGGGGCCTCACTATCTGCTCTTCCGAATTGGTCATCCGTCCTGCCGTGCAAGGTGTGTACAACTCCTCGCTGTCTATCAGATCGTTCTGACTTCGCGCAGTCAGGCAGTCGGAGACGATTCTGTCGCTGTCTTCGGTACTATCATCCCTATCAAATACCGCGCTTGCATCACATCTATCCTCTCTACGTCGCGATATCGTGTCGCACTATATCGAATATCTCATGAAGCAGCCCGCGAGCGTCGTCGTCTCTGATGCAGCCGCTATGACTGGTAACAGTGAGCACAAACTCGTGGTATACCCTGCTCCGCCGGAGACGTCGGACCTGTCCTTGCGGATCGACAACTTAGCGACGGCGTTGACGTTCCTTACCTCCAACTTCCTGTCGAATCTGCCGACGCCCGATCGAACGTCGTTTGCTTTATCACTATGCAGGCCAACACGGGATGCTTTGCTATACAGGTTGCTGATACCCTCTCTGCCTTCGTCTCTTGAGCTGCTGCCAGGGTTCTTGCAAGTGGTCGATCATGCCTGTCAATTCGAGGAAAAGTTCGTATGCACCATGCTTGGAGACAGCGACGGCGAGCAAGGCATCAGAATTTGGGCTGGTGCGGTCAGTCTTCATTACGAGCGTAAACGGCGTATGGAGCTGCTGGAAGCTGCCCGTGTGAAAATCATGGCTGCAGAAGATGAAAGTCGGACGTTCTACGTCGACTTGCAGATTGCCACCGGGAATGGGCACAGTGTGCCCGCACCTGCATCCGCACCAAATCCCGAGCCCATCGAGGAAGAGAGTGAAGCGGCTTGGGGTTTCGATGATGATAAGCCGACCCCGAACGACGCACTGACTTCAAGCCAAAGCCAGAACGCCCCGACGGAGGAGGCGAATGGATGGGACTTCGACGACGACGTGGAGCCTGAGCGTCAGGACGGCCAGCCTGAAGAGCGTTCGACCGAGTCGACAGACGAGAATGCGGGAGGCGCGTGGGGTTGGAATGACGATGACGACGCGTCCGAGACGCTTAATGGGGACGACTCATTCGACAACCCGTGGAATGATAGTTTAAATGAGGACTCACCTCTGGATAAAGGTGCAAACAGCAAACCTGCATCAATACCGAAACCGGCCAAACGGCTAGAGAAGCTATCCTCGAAAGGGAAGCGCGCACAGGCAGGTGCATTCTCGCCTTCTGTCCAATCTCCTGCTCTGGTGCCGCCTCCTCCGCCAACACCGATGATGCCTGCTGTGCCCCAGCGAGCTGCACCGGCGGTACCATCACCGCCTCCGCAGAAAGAATCGTACATGGCGTCCGGACGTGTGAAGGATCTGTTACAGCATATGCAGCACATCCTGGACGAGGCAGCTAAGTTGGTTTCGTCTGGCGTGTTCAACAAATACCCGACGTCACAATCCGCGTCCGGATTGATGCTAGTGCAAGCTGCACCGTTGACATTGGACCTTTACCGGGCAATGTATCCTGTGAGGTTCGCTAACGCACTGCGAGGTTCCCCGAAACGGTCTATGCGGTTTTCTAATGACTGCATATACATGGGTGGGGAAGTCGAGAAAATTGCTTCTGCCATGGGCCAGTCTTTATCATCTGTGAAAGCATCACTAAAGGAGTGTAGTGAAAGATTAGAGACCCTTGGTAGCAGCTGGTTTGAGGAGACCCTCGTACGTCTTTGCGTGCCTTATCAATACGACCTTCCGATTGACCACATCACAGGATCGACAATGTCAGGGCATGAACGAGATCCTTGATGAAGCAGGAAATTTCGTGGAGACGACAGATCAAGAACGTTTCGACGAGTGTGAGAACGCCGTGACACGGGCGCTGCAGCGCGTACGGCAGCTCGCTCAGCAGTGGAAGGTACGTGATGCAGGGACGCTCCGTGGCAGTTATCTGACCATGTACAACTGTTTAAGCCTGTTCTAAACAAGAGCAAGTACTACGATGCGGTGGGGCTGGTACTGGATGCCGCGCTTTCTAGGATCTTGTCGGATATACTCGCTTTGCCTGACATCACTGAGGTGGAATCGCATCGATTGAGTGAGCTGTGTCGTATCTTGAATGCGACGGAGGGCTTGTTCGTCGAGGATCCTGAACAGGTAAGAGATGCATTGGTGCGACTGCGAGGACGTCCGGTTCAAATTTTGTTGCTGTAGCCTTCCTTCATCGTGGCGTACGTCCCATCCTGGCTGAAATACTCATACCTCTCCGAACTACTCGTGCGTGCCTTCCTATCCTTTCGCAGCCGTCCGAGCTGATGTGGTCTACTTGACGCAGGAGGCCTCCATAGCGGATATATCATATTTGTTTGATGAGGGTGCCTTGGTCGATTTCGAGATCGAGGAGCTGGTGAAGTTAGTACAGGCACTCTTCGCGGACACGCCGCTCAGAGCCAACGCTATCCACAAGTTGCTTCACGGATATCCTGTGCCATCTCAATAGTCTAGTCGATAGTTGGTACTTTCCTGTTATTACTACGATACCTCTGGACATTATGAGCCAGCACTAGTTAGCGATTCCTGTCGTGTTTCGTCTTCCTGCGTTGTAATTGCAGAATACAAACCTGAAAGGTATCGCCCATAATTGCGGACGCACGGACCACCTATAAACAGGTCTAAACAAACCGTTTCCCTTACGCCACACCGCGTCCACTGCCTTCGATCTCGACCTATCTTCTTATTCAACGAACCCTTCCTCGCTCCGTGCGCCTTTCAATTAATGCGGAATGTCCTCTGTTGAAGTAACGGACTATGTGACCTTCGACGATCAGCGAGAGCTTACGCAACCCTCTTCGCAGACGTTTGAATCCACGCTCAAAGATGTGGTGCAGGCCAAAAGGCTCTCTGCGTCAAAAATGACGACGCTGACCGATATCGCTTTGAAGAGCATGCAGGTGCGTCTATTCCCGTATTGTATATTCAATGGGAATGGCTGTCCCGCTGACTTTTGCTTCTTCAACAATGTCGTAGCACGACATGCAGCTCGTATCTATCCTGTTTCGCACGCACAAGTCGTTGTCCCCGTCGGCCAAAATCTCTAGTCTATACGTTTTTGACGCACTGTCGCGCGCCGCCAGAAACCAGGCCAATAAGCAGGGCCTTAAGGGCGACCTCAACGCGGCTGAAGGGAATTGCGCCACGTTTCTACTGAAGGTTGAGGGTATCCTGGATAGCCTGTACCAGGATCTCGTTTCGTCTGGAAGCGCAGAATTGAAGGTTCGTCTTTCATTCTTCTACTCACTCGTGCTTGTGGCGGAAGCTAGCAATGCTGGTGCTGCCACCACGTAGTTAAAGGGGTACGCAGCTGCTGACCTCAGAGATCCTCACGGATCGGCCGTATGGTATGTTTTGTCGGCGACCGCAATGCACTTGACGTGTTGCGGAGGCTGTCTCTGCGTCGCTACTTAGCTCTGCTAACTCTGACCACGGTCACGTCGACCCGGGTAAGAACGCGTCGTGCCACCAACGTGCCTATCACATGATTGCCGTCCATCGCATAGTCGGATCTGCTTCTCCTATTCCAGCTTATTTGGAAGAGCAGCCGCGTCCTAACTGCGTGTCTCGCAATGTTCGTTCACAGGAAAAGGCCAAGAAGATACTTGATATCTGGATCAAGTCGAATACATTTCCGTCCGCTGTACTAGGACGTCTGTCGCAGATACTGAAAGGAGCAGTGGAAAAAGGTGCCTATCATTGTCCATATCTGTTCGCTAAGTATACCCTTCGCTTGTGTAATTCCAGTCGTTATTGCTATCCACCAATGACACCGATGAGTGAGACTGAGCTGAAATATAATTCATCTGTGTCAGAACGCGACAAAGTAATTTCTGCCCCGACCGCAGACCCGCGAACCCAGACCACGCCTCCATCCACCACGCCGCCACAACCGCCACCCGCTCTACAACCCGACGTGAAAGACGTACAGAGTACTCTTCTGGCTTTGCTCAGTCAGGCCGCAAACGCCGTGTCGAGCACCGGCATTGGGTGAGTCAAAAGCCACAGGATCTTCGCGTGTGCGAATGCTCACTACCACTCAGCCAAACAATCGCAAATACAGCCGCTTCCACGACTGTAGTACCTGCGCTAGATGCAAATCAGCTAGCGCTGTTTCAACAGCTCACGCAGACAGCTAAGTTGGGGAACGGAGTTCCTACGCAGCCCATTGCAGTACCCGTGTCATTAGTCCCATCCACATCTTCAACAAGTGCTGTTCCTGTAGTGCCTCCTGATCGAGGTCCTCTGGGGACTCCGCCTTATCATGATCAGTATGGTCCCGCTCGTAGAGATGCAACGCATGACAGATTTGGCGCACCAGAGCGCGCCAGAGACCGCGATGATTACTACGATGACTATCGCGACTTCAGAGGTGGTCCCAGGGGCAGCTTTCGAGGTCGTGGCCGTGGCCGCGGTAGGTGGGATGACCGCGAGCGGTTTAACGACCGGAGTCGAGATCGGGAGTGGAACTCTCTTACAAGAGGGAGAACCAGCCGATCTCGGAGCCCACCAGGTAGATACAATGGAAGCAGGGATCCCAGACCATACAGCCCGCCTCGCCGGCCCTCTTTTTCTCAGAGTATCAAGGATCTGACAGCGATGAATATCGTCGAGCCACCACGTGCACCTGATGCAAGCAAAGACGAGTTTGGACGCGATATTCGAAGCGGATCACCAGCATCTGCCGTAACAGGAGCTGCGCCCTTGAACCAAGGAACGAGCATTCAATCACTGTTGCCTGCCGCCACGTCATCCATACTTCCTACCGCAAAACAGCAGCCCATACCGACTCCAGCGTCTGATGCTCCGACACGAGCCGATGGAGATCCATCATCGCACTCACCACCGAACGTACGAGGAGAAAGTAGTAGACAGACGCAGATCGGACTAGATGCGTTCGATCCCAGCACGTTCGACCCGTCCTCTGCAGCATCGTGGGAAGCGCTGGGGACCGCCTGGGCGGTCACTCACGGCTACTTACCGTCCGAAGCGGAACTGATCCAATACACTTTCGGGACGGGACTGATGGGAGCCTTTCCCGTACCTAACCAGTTCATGACGGCACAAATGGGACAGTGGGCTGGGTCGGAGGAGTATTGGCAGCAGCCACAGCAGTCTACGGGGGAAACTTGGCAGGGAGATAGGGAAATGCGCGGACGAGGGGACAAAGAAGAGGGTTATCATGAATACGGCAACAGCCGAAATGCGGAGGGGACACGGGCTTATGAGGTGCAGAACACAGGAACGATCGCGCATGGCAGTGAAGATCCCGAAACGAGTCCTACTGGGCAGCCACTGCCCAATGCAGACTCGATCGCGGTTGACCCTCGGCGGGCCAAGACGGGCGAGGCGCAGGCGATGGACAATGGCATGGGAGAGGGAACGGGCACGGGCGCAGGGCGGATGCAGAAAGTGGGCGACAAATGGGTCTTCGTCCGGACTGGAGCAACAGAGGTATCATAGCGCGACATAACGGTATATGGATGAGAGTCAGTAGCGTTTATAGTGGATCAATTTGGTTCCACGCTGTTTTCGTGTACTGTTTCGTCTAGCTCGTAATCATACCCGTTTTCCATTCGTGAAAGGTCATGGCCTGAACAGTCAATCTCCGGAGCGTGTCAAAGCTAGAGTACGCCCTGCCGTCAATCACACTAGATGGAATAATTCGAACCCATGGCCACGCACCAGAAGCATGAAGCTCGTCATTCCAGCAAAGTCACCGTGGACACGTCTTCGGTCGGCCATAGCAACGTTGATCGAACTCGTGTTTCTGCCCAATTGACAGAGGCAATGTCCTTTCATTGTACTTGAACACTGTAAGTGAATTGGCAACGGTCTACATGAACTGGCATGTGTTCACAATGAAAAGGGGTATGCAGCCTGTAAACAAGTTTCTCGACTTCCAAAGCAACGATCGATCGAAGAATCATCAAACCATCAGCACGGACGAAAGTCAGTAGCATATACGTCGGGTCAAACCGACTCCACCCCATTTTCATGCACCATCCCAGCCAGCTCGTAGTCATACCCGTTCTGCTGTCTTGCAGAGTCGCGGTCGTGGTCTACATAGACGAGTCTCGGGGCGTGCGCGGCGGAGCGCGAGGCAGACGCGGACACGGATGCGGAGGGGTTGCGGCCGTGCGTGAACGGGCTGGGCCAGTATGTCAGGTAACACACGATGGCGCACGCGCTACCAATCAGGCTGCCAACTATGACGTCTTCTTTGTGGTGTTTCTGCAGGAATCCAAACCAAACCAACCCAACACCAACGGGTCAGTCGTCAATATGATATCGTCAGTGTGCATGCGTTATAGGGACGCACGTTGTCCTCGAGGCGGCTGATCGCGACCCAGGAGGCGAACACGAGTGGGAGGAGCGAGAGGATGAATCGCGCGAGGCGGCTGGCGACGAAGGAGCGCGCGGGAGCGGGGTGGGTGATGCACCATGCTCCTGTCATGCCTGCGATGAACAGCGAGAGGAACATCATGCCGGAGAATGCGGTTGAGGAATGACCGGATGGGAACGACCGCCGTCCATCGAGTACTGTTTCGAGGTCCCTGGCGTTCGAAGTGAGAGAGGGTTCCTGGGAGAATGCGGTAAGAATAAGGTTACCCTGCACATGATTTGACGTCTTTGTCCCATTTGCACCGGTGGAGGAAATCTGGTCGTAGACGGCCTGAATGCTCGTGAGCATGATGTTATGCATGAACATTGTGGCAGCAGTATCCGCACCAACTCTGTTTTTGAGGAATTCTGTGATCACTTCCGAGAACCCTCTGACATTGCATAAGTAAGTGGGTTGACAGCATCGCAGACTATATCTCACCTCCCAGCCAAGAGGGCAAGGCAGCCATGATGTAAATCGACGGCAGACCGTCTATAGAGGCTGGTGGCCATCACCACTGCAAGAGGGACAAACAATGCAATGGACCAATTGAGTTCACCGCTTATCCTGCGAACTGTACATCAAAGATCCTGACGTAAAGATGATGAAATTGAAGGCATACTGGCTCGATCTGTGTTTGTGGTCTATCACGGGATCGCTACGGCTGAACTCCCGCTCGAACGGAGGCAAACCGGAGAGTATCCAGGCGACGATCCAGGCAATGGATGCTATAGACCTGTATCGCATTGCATATGTCATGCACTTGATGGATACCTCTGTTGTACATACCAATCTACTACGTAGGACCTATCAAGCCATTGTAGGGAGTCTTCGCCAAAGGCGCGTCTCACGGTCCCCCATGCATCGCTCCAGCTAGAAGCCATTGTTACAGACGATCACGGTGACAAGTTGGCCGATCGAGGACCGGTTCAGGCTACCACTTTTGCGGATGAAACGAACTGGCGGCTGGTTGGCCGTCGCCGTAAGAAAATCAACGTCCCAGGTTCCTGAAGCACTTGGTCAATGTTTAGGGTAACGAAAGCTGCACGTCACATGATCGACGCACTGGGTGGCTGCCTGACACCTCGATGGCGGCGGTCGAAATCCCCTAGCGGACGCAGCTGGCGGGCACAGACAAGACGGCCTGTGAATGGATATGCTATATTTCTGGGAAGCCCAGGCCTGCCAAAGTTAGATCCTCGAATCGAATCGGGAGGATCGCCAAGCACCGCATACACGTTTAGTCACGGCCATGTCACGCCATGACTGATCGCGATTGTGACGCTTCGTAATGGAGCGCCCACACGCACGACGCGTGTGTCCCCCATTCAACACACTTTCTCCTCCTCTCTCCCCCTCCCCCTGCTCACTTTGACATGGCGCGAGCAAAGAAGTCTGCTCCCGCTCGGGGCCAAAAGCACATCACCTCATTCTTCAAGGGTTCTGCAAAGCCTGAACCTGAAGCAGATGATGACTCGGAGGCCTCTGAGTCTGAGGAAGAAGTTGAGAAACCCACCGCTGGAACGAGCAAAGGCTCAGCTCCAGACGCGTCTGACCTGCCTCCAATACATCAAATACCAGCTATTTTCTCTGACCTTGTTGCACGCGCTCCCCAGATCACGGCAGTGGCGCAGCACCTGCAAGGCCGCAAGATGCGCGTCGCTACTATGTGTTCTGGCACAGAATCCCCACTTCTCGCACTTGACCTCATTCGCAGATCCATCCTCGAGCATTATGACGTGAATCTCGAGTTCGAACACGTCTTTTCGTGCGAGATCGAGCCCTTCAAGCAGGCATACATCGAGCGGAACTTTCAGCCACCTCTGCTGTTCCGCGATGTATGCGAGCTTGGGGACACGCACGCGTACGTGTTCCAGCCATTTTTCGTTTGATCACATATGATCTAACGCGTGCAATGAAGAACGACAGCTTACGGATCCCTAGCGCCCGTCCCTGGAGACGTCGACATTCTTATCGCGGGTACTTCCTGCGTCGACTATTCCAATCTCAACAATGAGAAACAAGATATCGACGCGAACGGAGAGTCTGGAAGGACCTTTCGAGGGATGATGTCCTGGGTGAAGAATCATCGACCACCCCTTGTCATCCTGGAGAACGTCTGCTCGGCGCCATGGGAGCGCGTCGTCGAGTACTTTGAGAAGAATAAATACAGTGCCGACTTTTTGCGAGTCGATACCAAGAACTTTTACATACCTCATACGCGAACCCGGGTATACCTTCTCGCTGTGGACCAGCGAAATTCTCATCTTCCAGGTGACTGGAAGAGGCTTCTCGACAAGCTCAAGCGGCCCGCGTCGTCCACGCTCGATGCTTTCCTGCTCCCCTCGGATGACCCGCGCATTCATCAGGCGCGCGAAAAGCTCGTCTCTCAAAGTTACAACGCGGGTGACCGACGGACAGGCCGGACAGATTGGGGCCGGTGCGAGTCCCGCCACCAACGCGCGAGGTTGGAGGAGCAGCTCGGCTCGAAGCGTTCGCTGACGAGCTGGGACGAAGGTTAGTTATACGTCGTGTTGTGCTGAGTGGCGCGTGCTTATCGTTTTTCAGGTGGTTTCTGCAAGCTTCCAGATTTTGCGTGGAACGACTGGGGAGTCGGGCAAGTCGAGCGTGTTTGGGACCTTATGGACATTACTCTTCTCCGATCTGCCAAGAAGGGCGTCGACCCATCGTACAAGACGTGAGTAGTGCTGCTCACTCTTGTGTACGTTTGCTGATACCGAAGCGCGTTATAGGCAAGTATGGAATCTTTCGCAGAACGTCGATCGAACCATTGGGTCCAACATAGCCGGCATCTGTCCATGCTTGACCCCCGCCATGATCCCCTACATCACGAACCGCGGCGGGCCCATGGTCGGCCTCGAGGCCCTCTCCATGCAGGGCCTGCCCGTGGACGAGCTACTCCTGACGCGTGAAACGGAGGACCAGCTCGCCGACCTCGCGGGGAACGCAATGTCCACGACCGTCGTCGGTACATGCATCATGGCTGCGCTCATCGTGGGCCGGAAGCTGCTCAAGGAAGGCAGCGACTTGAGCACGTACGAGTCCAGAAATGACATGTCGATGGATATCGATAGGGAGGACGTGCAGGACGATTCGATGGACATCGACCAGGCGCTCGATGACATCCCCATGGAGGATCGGGTGTCCGGGGAGGACCAGCTCGTGGACCAGCCCTTGGACCTAGCGTCGACCGCCGCTGTTCCTCTTGCGACCGTCCTCGACAAGGCGGTCAAGAGCGCGCGTCTGTGCGAATGTGAAGGCCGGAAGGACATCACCGACCGCCAGGTGAATCGCTGCAAGGACTGTGGGTCCTCGTCTTGTGTCAAGTGCGGCGGGAGGCCGGAGCACAACCCGGAGCCCGTCGACGTCCAGGCAAACCCACGGATGTCCCCGACCGCATTTGCGAAGGAGCTCAAGTCCACGCTGCCCATGTCTCTTTCCCTATCTAACGTCTCTCGAGCGCTGCTCGACAGCCTCAAGGAGGCGTCGGGAGTCTCTATCCCGAGCAAGCGCTGGTCAAGCTGGTGCGAGGCCGTGCTCCGCGTCTCCCAGCACGAGCTGCGGTTCGTCGAGCCAAAGCGACAGGACATCTGGGTGGCGACGTATCGGTCTCCCGTCGCCTGTTTGGAGCTCTTGCTCTATCCCCAGCAGCCCGAGTGGCGCCTGTTTGCGAAGCCGGAGGAGAGCGAGCCGGCCAACTCGGAGTTGCGCAGGCTGTTGGAGGCTCCTGTGGGCAGGATGATCTGCACGGACGGGCTGTTCGAGGGACGGTGGGACTTTGCGCTGCCGCATATGACGTCTGTGCGTATCGCGATTTCGGGTAGCGAGCCTGTTCCGTCGTGGGAGCAGAAACTTGGTTTGCAGGGCGATGCGTTCAAAGATAAGATGGTCAATTCGAGGCTTGAGATTAGCGTTCCCCGGGAGGACGCGGTTCATTTTGACAGGGATATCTCGGGTGTGTATACCTTGTTGGACAAATGCGGTACTGCGAACTCTGCGTTGCACAAAAAGACGTCTGACGAGCGCGACTCGCACTTGCCGCCGCTGTTCTTGTTGCTCGACCCGACGCGGTGCGGAGATCCAGCGGATGACTGCTTCGTCATGTCTATCAGCACGCGGCGTTATGAGTATGGCGAGACCCGGCCTCTTGTTTGTAAGTTTGAGTCGAAGTGGAGGCAGTCTGATACTGTGGAAGAGCAGAGCATTGCGTGCCATATTCCGCAGAAGTGGGTCGAGTCGTCTGGGACGCGTCTGGTGGTAAGTAATACCAATATCAATTCTATCATTGACATGGCTTACGCTTCGAGTTAGCCCGTGGCCGGCCACGAAGCGCACTTCGCCGTTCCCAGAGACCACCTGAACGTCAGCGTCTCGAACGACGCCTGCTCCAGTGCAAACGCCCTCCTCGTGTGCCGCGTTTCACTCCTCAACCAGGCAGGCCCGGAGTGGCCGCGCGGCGCCTGGCGCGAAATCGACAAGGTACACGAGCGAGTGACGTTCAAGGCCCTCGCGTGGCTCATCGAGCGCATCCGCAACGTCGGCGACCACTTTGGCGACTGGCAAGACGCGGAGGCGATGCACGACCACGTCAACTGCGAGCGGTGTGCGCCAACAGCGCCCGATCTGCGCTGGACGAAGAACAAGAACAAGATTGTGGCGATTGAGGATACGGCGCAGGCTGGGGAGTATGAGCGTAGGCTGAAGCGCCGCCCCGCACCGTTCGTCACTCAGCTCAAGCTCGAGGAAAACGGCGTCGGGGTGGTCCGCATTGGCGTCAATGTCACCTCGCTCATGCACCGGGCCATGTCTCGTTTGCCCTCTGCAGGACGCACAGGGGAAATCAAGACCTCGTGGCGACTGACGACCGACTTCCTCCCAGCAGCGAAGATCAGCCGTCCGAAGTTCAGGCTCTCGAGCAACCGGCGCGACGTGCAGCACGCCCAGCCTCCGAGCTTCATCATTGACTTGCGTCCGGAGCAGTTGAGATCACTTACGTGGATGCTGGCGCAGGAGGAGCCGGACGCGCCTCCGTTCATCGAGGAGGAAATTTCGGAAGCAATTTTGGAGCCGCTTGGGTGGAGGGCGGAAGGTCGCGCTCAGAGGCCAGTTCGTGTCAGGGGAGGCGTGCTTGCGGACGAGGTCGGGTACGGGAAGACCGCGATCACGCTTGGGCTTATTGACTGCACGTCGAAGAGCGTCGAGCAGGATTTCAGGAAGGTGGAGGACATGAAGGGCAAAATCCCGGTCAAAGCGACCCTCGTAGTCGTTCCTCCTCATTTGACCGGACAGTGGGGCTCCGAGGTGAAGAAGTTCACCGGAAAACGGTTCAAGGTCGTCGTGATCACCACCGTTTCGAGCCTGAACTCCTTGACTGTCGAGAATATCCAGGAAGCGGACATTGTCGTCGTCGCGTCCAACTTGTTCAAAAGTATCGTGTACCTGGCGCACCTGGAAATTTTCGCTGGTGCCGGGAGTCTGCCTGCTAAAGATGGTAGGTACTTCAACGCGAGGTTGGAAAACGTGCTGGCGTCGCTCCGTGGACAGGTCGACCGGCTTAGAGAGGAGGGCGCGCGAGCGGTGATGAGAAAAATCAACGAAGGCAGGAAGCTAGGTATGATATTTATATTTGTTATCCTGCTGCTGTATGCTAATTCATTTTACCAGACGAGGACGAGGCCAATTTCCTCGTTTCCACAAAGCGACTTAAGGGTAAGACTTATCGTCAGGCAGCCGAGGTCGCAGAAGGTGCAGCGAAGCCAAAGCCGGAACGTTCAGAGGCGAAGAGCCCGCGAACGGGGATGGTCATGGAGGTTGTCATACCTCCTCTGCCCAAGCGCGGCAAATCTCCCTCAGCGATGAGCATTGTCTCGTCCTCTGCGCCTGAGACGACAGACGGAGAGGACGATTCGGACGTGCCCGCCAAGCCACGTCGTCGTCGAGGCTCTCAGAGGCGTCCGATCATGATTTCCGACGACGAGGAAGAGCAGGCCCAGTCTGACGGCGACTTTCTGCCTGATGAAGACCAGGACGATCCAAGGGCCAGACGCTCCACGAAGAAGGCAATTTACGTCAAACGCTCCAAGAAGTCGCACGATTCGGAGTACGAAGAGTCTGTGGCGGAAGAAACCCAGTCCGAGGACGAGACGGCCTTGGATGACGTGGTCACGTCCGATGATGATGACTATTCTAGCAGATTGTCCAAGCCGTCGACAGCGGGGAAGGGGGCGAAGGGCAGCAAGAAGTCTGCCGCCACTTCGGACAGCGATGCTATGGACATCGATGAACCGTCGTCTTCAAAGGGCAAGCCGAAGAAAGCTATCAAGAAGCGCAAGGCTCAGGATGACGGCGAGAGGCCTGCCAAGAAGAGGAGAGAAGTCGAGGACCCGTGGAAGCTGGGGTCGCCCGCGGTGAAGAAGGACTGGACGCAGATGCAGGCTCCGCCACTTGAAATGTTCCACTTCTCCCGGAAGGTTGTGGATGAGTATACGTATCTTGACGGCAAGGTCCACTCAATGGTCACCAACATCACGGCCGAGCGACACTGGGTGCTCTCCGGTACTCCCCCGATCCACGGCTTCGGCGCGCTCAAAACCATATCCGCATTCCTCAATCTGCACCTTGGTGTGGATGATGATGGTGAAGGGCAGTCAGCGCAGGTGAAGAAACGCCGCATGGAGCAGACCGGTGAGCATTTATTCACCATCAGCATCTGAGAGCTTGTATTGACAACCACTGCAGCTGTGGAGAAATTCCACTCTTTCCGTGAGGTCCACAGTCTCGAGTGGCATGCCCACCGCCACCAAATCGGGCAAACGTTTTTGGATCAATTCGTCCGTCAAGTGAGTGCTTTGTTTCTCTTTACTACATTTTCTAATTTTGTTTTCGGTAGAACATTGCTGAGATTGACGAGATCCCGTCAAGCGAAGAGATCAGGAAGGTGGACCTGCCTGCTGCAGAGCGTGCGATCTACTTGGAACTCGAGCATCATCTTCGTGCGCTGGACATGACCGTCAAGCGTAGCAGGAAGAGCGAAAGCGACCGGGAAAAGCGAGTGGCCCAGGCACTCGGAGAAAGCAGGTACGTCGTCGTTTGCAGCATAGGAATTTTAAGGATTCTTAATCGTTCTCTCCAGCACTGCCGAAGAAGCCCTCCTCAAGCGCTGCTCACACTTCGAGCTCGACTCCTCTGACAAGGAGAACGCTATGAAAGCGTGCGAGGTAATCGTCCGCGAGCGGCGTGCACAGCTCGACAACTGCAAGCTCGAGCTTGAGAAGATGATCGCGGAGGCACTCAAGAAAGAGAAGCAGATCGGCAAGGTCGAAACCGAGTCGCTCTTCCGAGAGTATATTCGCGTCACGCGCAACGAGGGCGTCGGAGACGAGGATGCGACGGAGCAGATGAAGATGCTGCTCGACCAGGCGAACGTCACTGCTCCCCTTCAGGCGATTACGAACAAGCAGATCGACGCGCGGGGAAAGGGCAAGTCTAAGGACGATAGTCTGCCGGAGAAGGTCAAGCGGCTCATCTGGGAACACCGTGAGCAGACGCATGGGATACGCCGGCTGACGAAGGAGCTCGTGGGCCGCGTGCGGTCGTTGCGGTACTTCACCGCCGTTAGGGACTTGCAGAGGCAGGTGGATGTGGCTCCTGTGGTGTCGTGTCCGTCATGTGGGCGGGATCAGGTCCCGATCGAGGAGGTCGCGGTCCTCTCGTCTTGTGGCCATATGGGCTGCATCGGGTGTGTGACAGAGTGTGCGGAAAGGGAGGAGTGCGTGTATGCCGCGTCCGGAGCATGCAAGGCCGCCGCTCGTGTACTGAATGTCGTAAAGGGCGATACCCTGGGCGTTGACGACGAGCAGCGCGATGGGCAGGGCAAGCACTACGGCCTCAAGCTCGAGCGAGTCATTCACCTCATCAAGTAAGTCGCAATCTCGAGGTCTTTTGCGGATGCTAATCAATCTTTATAGGAGGGAGATACCCAAGGAAGAGCGGGTCCTCATCTTCGTGCAATTCCCCGACCTCATGAAAAAGGTCGCAGAGGCGCTCGCCGCGAACAAGGTCAAGTTCCTCGAGATCCGGGGCACGGCAGCGCAGATGAGCAAAAACCTCGAGCAGTTCCAGACGGACAGCGAGGAGCGCGTACTGCTGCTGAACGTCATGGATGAGAGCGCGAGCGGGGCGAATTTGGCGTCGGCCAACCATGCGGTCTTCCTGTCGCCGTTGCTGGCCGCGACGCAAGAGATATACGATGCGTGCGAGACGCAGGCGATCGGGCGGCTGAGGCGGTACGGGCAGACGAATCTCGTCAACATTTACCGCTTCCTCAGTACAAACACCATTGACGTAGAGATCTACGAGCAGAGGGCCAAGGTGAAGATCTAGAGGTTGGATGTACGTGTCTCGATTTGGTGACTGTCGCTCTGGTATTGCTTTCGTAGGATTGGAACTGTTTGGATTCATGGCAAAGAGTCGGATTGTTTTCGTGCATCTCCAGTGCGCATCTCGCTTTGATGACTGTCGGTCCCGTATCGCTTTCATCGGATTCAACCCCACGGATTCATACTCAGATTATCTCACAGCATCTCCGCCCTTCATTTATGCTACATATATAGTTGTACCTATATCCCGTTATCAAATAAAACCTCGCATTTATATGTACCACACTGTTGAGAGGATGAGGGCCATGCATCAGCCGACAGATGAGTGAACGCAGTTCAATGCTGCCGCGAGCATGGCGGAGGTATTGTCAACTCCTCGACGCACAGCGTAAGTTGACAATTAATCCCACCACCCGTGATCAGTAGCAACAGAGCGAATAATGATAGGTGATGCACATTACATACAAGATAGCAATTCTAAAACACGTTGAAAAGTCCATCCACCCGCGCGCCCGCGAAAGAAACCCAGCTCCGTCCCACCGCATCACTTCGACGACATCGCATAACCCGTGGTGTCCAGCACCTTCTTGCCACATATCGCACATACACCCCGCTTATATGCGCATCCTACAATATCCAGTCAGTCAAAAATCCAGGACAAATAGAAAGGGGAAACGTACCATGACAGTACTTGGCCTTGTTCTGCGTGACGGTCGACTTGCAGTCTCTACATTTCCCTTGATACGGCTGCACAACGAACCACCGTCAGTCTCAGTCACCACGGCCAATGGAGGGCATACGCACCTGAAACCTGTTTTTCGAGCTGCCCGGCCTCGTGAGAAGCTTATTCTCCCCGACCTTGCGAGACCCCTCCTTGATGCTCTGCGAGCTATTCGTGAACGGGTCCGGCGCCGCGAGCTTCGACAATTTCTACACACATCACATCCTCAAGTCAGCACACACTCCCTCGCTTCACAAAAGAAAACGCTACTTACACCCTCGCATTTCTTGCAGACCATGGTAGCGTAGGAGCGTGGTGGAGGTGGTTGGTGAGCAAGGACTATGTGCTGTGTGGCAGTTGGCCGTTGTGGCGTTGAGTACTGACTGACGCTGACCGATCACGCGCGGAGGCGGAGGGAGCACCGCGCGGCCCGTTATGGAAGGCGTAGTGTTCGCAGTAATCACGTGATCAATTCCGCACACAGAAGAGAAGCTGGATGCCTAGTGTTCCTCCGCCACATCAACGACACCAAGGTGAGTTTTCAAAGCCATTCCAGAAAAGACGAGTAGCTAAGCATCTCTGTCTTAAGAACCTTCAGACTGCGTCGTAAACGACAGTACTCAACCTCGTTACAACATCCCGAACCCACTCGGGACCCGGTCCCGCCAATGGGACCGCAGCCTGCCAACCGGGCCAGAACGAAGCATAATCATCGGATACTACATCTGAAACACGCGGATATAAATCCTCGCTCGAGCACCTTCAATGAGCTTCATATGCACATGACAAAGGTATATATATATATCCCCGGCAAACGCCCGTCCATAGCAAGTGCCCTGGCCCTGCTTCGCCGCAGCCAGCTCTCCTCCACCGCCATTCTAGGAGCGTCCAATTATCCCTCCTGAATACATCTCCGGCCTAAATCTCACCACTACCACACCCGGTCCTCTCAATGAGCTGTCAATCTCTCCTGGATACGTACCACCACCGCCATCATCGCCGCGAGATCTCATCACAAAGCGCCAGCGTGACCACAGCCAACGACGCAAGACAGAACCAGCAGTGCATATTCCCAGAGTATGCCATACACCAAATAACGATAACGAACAAATCAGCCAGCGCACAGCCCGGCTCGAAAACACCGCGGCCCACGGGCGTGCGGTGCACAGGCGGGAGGGGCTTGCCCACCCGCCCACCCATCAGTTAAAGTTATAATGCCAATCCCGCACGGGCCACGGTGCATGTACGTATGTATGTACTTACGCTACGACTATGAACATCGACGCGCCGGCGGGCGCGACAAAGGAGCGGCCCGCGCCCGCCACGGGCGGTCAACACAACTCGAAGGACAAAAGACAGCAAGGAAATTACGACTCGTGTGAGCGGGATGGGATGGGATGGATGCATGGTATCTATGCGGTGTTGAATGTGTATAAAAAGCAACGTTCGGACGTGGCCGTGTCCGCTGTCGTTAGCAAAGCAAAGCAAGGCGATGATGCACACTACAGGAGTTGAGGTCTGGGTCCGGGCTAGGCGCGTCTACTGGTAGACGGCGATATAGTTGACTTCCCAAGCGGCATCTGCAACCGCAGCGGTCAGGCACGCGCAGCGGGGATACTACCGCACAAGCACTCACTATCAAAGTTGGTCGCGTTCGCGACGATCTCGTCGCAAGTACCAGGGCACCCAGACGTGCTGTAAACCGCGCCAGCCCAGTCCCCGCAAATCGTAGTATCAAGCACGATCGTATGGTCGTAAAGACTCGCAGAGATATCGCAGCCCGTATCAGGGAAGATAGCAGTGGGGGTTCCCCACGAAGTCGGGTCGGGCGTTCCACCAGCGACGTCGCTCGGGATCGCGTCGCGCGTGAAGAACCAGACAGTGATGCCATCGCTGTTCCAGAGGTGCGCAAAGACGCCGCCGCCCGCGGCGTTGAAGCCCGCGCCGAACGAGTTGGTGCCGGGCTGGGTGTAGGCGCAGCCCGAGTCGGCGTCCGCGCTGCTCGTGCAGGTCGTGGAGCTGATGGAGCCCGTCGTGGCTGCGGTGCTGTTGAGCGTGCAGGTGTCGCCCGTGTGCAGCGTGATTTGGTTCTGCGTCATGAGGTTCACACCCTCTGCGGCGGCCGCGTCAGTTTCATGGACGCAAGGAAGATATGTGCGGACGTGTGGGACGTACCGATGATGTCCATTTCGCCGCCGGCGGGCCAGGTGGCAGTGGCGCTGACGGTCCAGTACGCGGGCCAGATGCCGCAGCCGTAGGGCATGGCAGCGAAATCGGCGATGAACAGGCCGCCGTTGTACGTCTCGGGTGAGCTGATGCGAACACTGCGCGAGACGCCCGAACATGATCAACTATGATTAAGTGCCAACGAGATGCGATCGCACTTACGACTTGCGGAGGCCACCTGCAGCGACGGTCTCGGTGTTGTCGATCTTGAGCGTGGTGACGTTGTTGCAGTCGACGGACGCGAGGCCAGCAGCGACGGCGTCCGCCTCGTCGAGGTAGTCCACGAGGCCAGAGGTAGGATCAGCCGCGTCGTAGAAATTCCAGTCGCTACCATCTCTCAGGTGAACCTCCTGCTCTCCTGCCAACGACGCGAAAATGCCACGTACAGGAAGTCCTCTCCGACAAACTTGTTTTGGAGCGTGTAGTTGGAGTCGCGGCGCATGTAGGTGGGGCCGTTGTTGCTGCTGCTGCGGGCAACGTTGTGGTGCCGGCGGCGGAGCGCGCCGTCTTCGTGACGGGCGAGGGAAGTGAGCGGGAGCGCGAGGATGAGCGCGGCGAACGCAGAGTGCATCATGGCGGATATCTAATGTGCGATGTGCAGCAAGAGGACGAGGACGAGCAGGGGCCAACGACGGACGAGGGGTGGAGAAAAGGAGAGTGTGTCTAAGGAGGGACAATAATGGAGGTGAAGAAGAGAGGCGAGTTGCAGATAAAGCGCAGCATGTACGCATGCCCCATCGGCGCCTGCCCGTTGCCACCGCGAGCATCCAATCACCGCCAACAAGACTCCTCCCCTCATTCGGGCGCACCTCCCCGCTCCGTGCCTTGTTTCGTCCATTGTCTTCCCTCTCAGTTCTGCCTCGCACATTCGGACAGAGTAGACGGAAATGTCCAGCAGCCCACCACCACCCCTCACTCGCCCGCTGAGGAGGGATTGTTGCCTGAGAGCGCGGCGGCGTTCGAAGGGTCGTCGACGTAGATACCGGACTGGTCGAATAGAATACGCGCGTAGACCGTCGCCTTTGAGAGGACGACGCGATAGTACTAGCACTGCAGGCATGAAGGCATTCATTCCCGTTGCAAATGCTCTGAAAATGTGTTCTGAAGTGTGACCTATGGAACACTATGCCCTAATTAGGCAACTTTATGTCCCAAAAAGGCAGTTAATTACAATTTAGTGTCATTAAATAACAAAAACGAACGGTCGCAAAAGCTTTCATGTCTGCGGTGTAGGAGAGAGCTTATACACGTGGCTTATCCGAAGAGCCGAATTGCTGATCCGAGTGCACGAATTCTAGTTCAAGGGGACAAACTGCTCCATTCGTGGGCAGGAGGGCGCCCTTATATACATGCGAATGATAGTGGATAGCGTAACAAGGAAGACGTGGGGTTTTCTGGCTATGGGGATGCAATCGCGTGAGAAACTACTAACTATGGTAACTGTCCGGACATAAAAGGAAACTTTGAACAACCGAACCTCGGCGACAGACTTGGTTCCCGGTACGTCCAGACGATGAGCGCTGTCTCGGCGAGTTCGGACCTCCGCGGAGATCGAATTTACGAGTCGCAGTCCGCCGCCCTCGGACGCGCGATCGTCACCGCGAGCCTCCTCACCTACGTCTCCCTGTCCTCTCAAATATTATGCATGAACTGAAAGAATCGTCTCAAAATGAATGAAATGGATGAATTACGGTGCCGGCGGCCATCAGCTTGTCGATGACAGCAATCATGATCCGCGCGAAGCCCGACGCGTCCAGCTCGCACTCATCAATGCATCACTAGCACTGCTCGAACATATCTGCACAACTGCCTCAACGGCTCTGTCGGCGAGCAGTTTAAGGGACCTCGTTTCCATGGACAAGCCCTGGGCGCTTCACGCCGTCGCTCTTTCGCCGAATCCGCATCTTCTTTGGCAATTCAATGGAGTCTTCCATTCGCCACAATGGCAGCCACGGCCGACATGTGCAGGCGTGGCTGAAACAGAGGTTGTGGTCGTAGCGAGGTGCGTTGCCGCGCACACAAGCATTTTGACATCTGATCATGATCGATCACAGCTAGCGCGGTGTGTCCACAATATCATATTCGTGCACAGGCCACACCTTTTCAGGCGCACGTTTTGGCCACGAGAGTGGTGGCTGGGCCCTACGTATAATAACTGTCGCCCGCAAACAAGCAGCGTTCCGGAGAAAGAGCATCTGCGTAAGGGGCACCGGCAGGCGGAAGCGAGAATCATGATCTTGACTGTCACCCGAGCCAACAACACCGATGTCGCTCAACGTTGATGCTGATTAGATCTCAGTTCACCAATCATCATCAACTTCAACGTTACCTTCATCATCTCGCCGGATCCACTTACCGTCTGATGAAGCCTGAAGCTCCACCTACAAGATCAAGACCTCCATCAAACTCATGGAGAACCTGTGTCTGACCTTTACGCTGAAATCACCATCGAGACTCTGACGAAGGCAACGCAAATCACAACTTCATCAAAGCTACGCGCACATCCCTGGTGAACCAAAGGATCTTTTCGATGCTCGCTTTCCTTTTTGCGACTTCTTTGCGCGCACTAACAGCCAGATTCCTGCGAGTCATCATCAATATGCAGGGAAGCCCTCCGACAGAGACGCATATATACAGTCAAAGTTGCCACGGCGGTCTGATTCGCAGATCAAGATGAATCCTGACATTTGGCCGACAACGGGAGGTTGTCGATCTTGCAGAGACCATCTCATTCAAGAGAAACGGTACAAATAAACCGATGATCGAATGTTCCCAAGACCATGATGAACACAATGCGGACGTGTAACTTCATCAGACCACCCGCAGATCGCTAGACTTCTCAACTGATGCATAGCCATGTTCTTCATCTCTACCTTGCTTTGCTCAATGCAACTTCTCTGCGTCTGTGTTGGTATCCTGCCCTCCTCTTCGACGAAATCACACAACGTCGAACTTTACACCGTACCCAGATTCTCCAATCCTGAAAATAAGCCGACTGCCTGAACACAAATGGCTCATCAGAGCCTCCGCCGCTGGCCCAACAGACATATCGCCATGAACGGCAACACTCAAGCGAGCCGTGTGATCCTGAGTAGCGTTGGTATCTCGATTGGCATGGCCGCTGGAATATTGGGTTGTACGACAGGGTTGTTTATGACTCGTCATCTGAGCTGCTCCGGAACGTCCAGCGTTCGGGCTACCGCTCACCCGACAGGAAGCACGTCAAGGTGCCGCGGATGCGTTCACAGTATCGAGCAGAAATACGAGTCACCAACACAGCGTCGAATTCAGGCTGTGACCTGATGTTCTTGCGAATGTGCGGACAAAGACCATTGCTGATGCGCGCATTGATATACACATCAATGCTGCTGGTGTGCGGTGAGATACTCTGAGAAACCAGTCTGAGCAGCTGTCCATCGAGACAGGATGGGTCCGAAATGCCAATGACATGTGTTCTTGACGCCTGTCATGCTAGTACACGCAGACGGTACACCAGGGCTTTGCGGCAAGCGAGTGGAGTGTTCCGTGAGATGGAATTAGTAGGGGCCCCACGTTCTTGATGACCGAGCGTCGCAGGTCCGCCAATGATCAACCTGTCAAAGACAAAGACAAAGTTGATCTATACCTGTCGCCCAAATATGGTTTGAACCTCGAATTGTGAAGCAAAGAATCTGTGGAACGAGGCCACGTTCAATGGAGGCTTCCGAGGATGCAACGATGAAAGGATCAGCCTGTCTGCGATACGGCGGATAATATATAAGTCATCTTGTTAGCTTCATACACGGAATACATTGAGCTTGCAATCCCATCCACAGCTCGCGAGTATGCCTTCGTTATATAGCGACCAAGCGCATCCGACGACGAACTCCGTGTGCGGGTCGTGGATATACAACAGGTGCGATCCCGCCGGCGACGGAGTCGTACTCCACCTAAACACGCCGAATATTAGACGACAGCAGGGAAGAAAAACGAGGTGCACTCCTTACACTCTACACGTCATGTCATAGCTCGCACTCGCAATCACATCCGGCCGGTGAGGGCTCCACTGGATCTTCCTCACCGCATACTCATGCCCGAGCAGCTGCGTCTCGCACACACCCCCAACCGCGCCCGCGCGTGCGCCCTCCGCGCCAAGCTTAACCATCCGGCAGTCCCATACCTTGATCGCCTTGTCGACGCCCGCGCTCGCGAGCAGGAACGGGCGGTACTTGTTCCAGTCCAGCGTGAGCACTTCCGTGCCGGACGCGGGCACGGTGAGAGCTGCGGCGGTAACGGGGGCGACGAAGGCGCTCTGGTCCGCGCCGGGTCCCGAGGGGACGTAGGAAGGCGAACGAAGATCGAAGATCCTGAGGGTACCATCTGTGGAACAGGTCGCGATTGTATCGGGCTGATGGGGTGAGAAGAGAGCTTGGTAGACACAGGCACGGTGTGCTTGCAGAGTCGTTATGGAACGTGGTCTTTCTGGCGACCACTGTGATCATGGTCAGCTCAGCTTGTGACGTAGGAGGACTGAGACGCACCAGCTTCACTGTACCATCCCACGAAGAGGAAACGAACATGTCCTTCTGAATATTTGACCAGTCCACGGAGAACACCTCGCGCGTGTGCTCCTGCCAAGCACGGATGGGTAGATCCTAGATGTGCTTGCGGATCTTTAGTTTGACATCGACACCGACGCATCCGCGCACAACAATCCCACATACATTCAACGTGATATCCCATAGTCGAAGCGATCCATCGCCCGAGGCGCTCACGAGCTGGTTCTCGTGCATTTCAGACCACGCGACGTCGTACAGACCGTCCTGAGTGTCATAGCTGTTTTCGTCAACGCGATCGAGGCCCCCGCCATGCCAGCGCATCACCACTCACAACTTGTCAAGCGAGAGCGCAGGCAGCCCTCCGGGGCCAGGATGCAGCGAGACGAGGTGGAGACGGCCGTTGCCCACTAGGCCATAGTTCGCAGACGACGCAAGCGCAATGCGGTTGTTGTGGAACGGCGACCACGCGAGCGAGTAATGAGCGAAGCCGGGGGTCTGCAGGACGGACGGGGGCGCTGGGGGCGCGTTCATGGTCGCTGCCGACGGCGATGAGACGAAGGAGGTAAGGGTCAGGAGCAAACGCCGCCCGCATCATTCCTCGCCCGAGCGCGTCTGATCGGGGTTGTGTCACATGCGCGTCTCTGTTCCTACCATCCCTGAGGCCCTCCTCAGGACGGCCACTGCGACACAGACCATCTCGCATGCTGGCGCAGTTGAGCGGATATCGAGCTTCATCGCTCCTGGAAACGTCGCAGTCCTCACGGGAGCGGGGGTGAGTGTAGATTCGGGCATCAGAGCCTACCGCGGCGTGAAGGGCAGGTATTTGAATCCAAATTACAAGTGCGTGGCAGATGGCCGTCTCGGATGCGGTAAGAATGATGTTAATATGGCGGTTGAGTAGGCCGATATTTGTACGTGGGCCTCACAAAGTCTCCTTGCGGTGTGAAGTTGCGTAACGGGAAAAATATTAGTACCATGAATTGATGGATTCGACTGAAAAAGGCGCGGCCTTTAGGTGCGTGCCCTCGGCGTTGCCTCTACTGCCATTACTCATGATCCAACCAGACGACGATACTGGTACCAAATTTTTCGCTCAAACGATGTCGGTTTCTCTAATATCTGCACAAGGCTCCGTTCATACATCGGATACCCACCCTTGAGCGCCGCGCAGCCCAATCCCACCCATTACGCCCTAGCCGCTCTACAGTACAGCGATGTCGTTAACAGACTCGTCACCCAGAATGTCGACGGCCTGCATCACAAGGCCATCTCGCACGTGTGGGATAATGCCCGAATGGAGGAAAGGATCCTGGAGCTCCACGGACGACTACGTGTGCGCCAGCCAGCTTGGATACAGTCCGTCGGTATGCTAACCTAGAGTCGATCTAGAGCGTGCGCTGCTCGAATGGTCATTTGGTCCAACGGGATGCGTTTCAAGAGAGGTTATCGGAGGCTAACCCGCAATGGAAGGCGTTCATGGGTGAGCTGGAGGCGACAGGACGGAAAGTGCGGACGAACCCGGACGGTGATGTGCGATTTTCTCACTCGCCTATTTCATGAATGTCCGATGACAACGGCCCGCCTGCAGGTCGAGTTGGAGGGTGTGAGCTATGACGAATTTGTAGTACCCGACTGCCCGGCTTGTTTGTCCGAAGGTCTACGTAACAATATCGTACGCTATTCCCCGCACTTACTGCTCACGACACAAGACTCATATCGCCGATCAGCTCAAACCCGAGGTCATATTCTTTGGCGAGTCTATCTCGAAAGAGGTGAAGGGTCGGTCGTACGTATCCCTTCACCTCCACGTCCCCAGGAGACCAATCACCACCAATGACCTAGATTTGCAGATGTAGAGAGCTGTGATAGACTATTCATGGTTGGCACAACCTTGGCGACATTCTCGGCGTTCAGGTAATTCCCGTGACCCTTCGCTCTCTGGCCATTTAGTAAGTTTTACCCCAGGCTCCTCAAGCATGCCCTGGACCTACGCAAACCTGTCCTTCTCCTAAACCTTGGTCCCACACGCGCCGACGCCCTCGCTCACCCAATCGAGAAGATCGAGATGTCCAGCGGGACCGTAATGGCGGACGTTGCGAAGGCTGTGCTGTAAGCCCTTCGATCCCCCAGATAGCCAAGCAGTGATTCATGGTGCTCTCTTTAGAGGGTCCCGCGCTTCCGAGGACCCTGTCGTAGTCAACATGCTGCGGAGCGGTATCGTGAGACCACCGCTAGAGGACGAGGATGATACAGCGCCGAGAGCGGTCGGGTAGACTCCCGGTTCTGCGCGTTCCCATCGTGCCCGTTCCTCGATAACGAATTTCAGATTGACCAGTAAATACATATGTTACATTAGCGAACGGTGTCCCACTGCCTCATATTGATCTGACGCGACGGTATAATGCATGTACAATAACTGAAAGCGGTGAATGCGTGGTTTGCGACAGCAGTCTGTGACGAAGTGCGTGCAGTGGGGACGAGCGATATAACGGTGTGTAAACAAGAGGCTATGTGCGGATATGCTACACTATATATGAGTAAGATTAGATGTGCCCGAGCAGGGATTATATCGAGAGCAAGATGACAGCAAATAGACAAGCAGAGCTTACAGTAACTGTACAGCTGAGGTATATAGTAGCGTGTAGATAGATCCTCTAGCAATCTTCGTCTTCCGGCTTCACGGGGAACAAGCGGGCAAAGGGATGATCTGGCGTCCCGGGTGCGAGAAGATCCCTCCGACCCCCGTCGCAAACCTTGTCGGAACAGTCCAGAAGCGGTTCGGTCGACCAGACAGGTGCCTTGAGATGGGACCAATCCCATTCTTGCCAGTTGCCGAGAAGAGGGGACAGCTCTCGTGTCGGACGCCGCTGCGACCGGATGAGATACTCCTCAAACTCCGCACTCGGTTCATGGATGATTATGGCGGGGGCGGTGAGTGACTCCACCTCGGGCTCTGATTCTTCCTTGGAGGAACTCACGCGTGACATGCTGTCGTCCTCGTCCGGAGTTAAGGGTGGCAGCGGGCTCGAGGACGGCGTTATGTGCCGCTTCACAGCGCTGGCAATCTTGACTTCGGAGGGGAAGGAGGGCTGCTGCTGCGACTCACGTGAGGTAATCGAGGGTGGCGCATCACTGGCCAGATTTCTTACCGGAGCATTCGCCCGCATTTCTTGGACAACGTTATCAGGTCGCTTGTTGCAACGTTCCCTGTGTTTTTGCCAATGCGCAGGGTCGAACGCGCTCTTCATCGATAGCTTGATCGTACTGCCGCACCGAACGCATTCCACGAATTGCGGGCTGTGCACGATGACCATGGGATCCGTCCGCAATTTCTGTTCCCTCGCCAGTTCGCCCTGAGTCGGTCTACGAGCCGAACTGATGCTGTCAGATCAAAGGCCAATTTAGTGTCCCTTTGTTTTGACAGCGACCTGCCCCTTACGTCGGAGAATGTGGCGCGCCAGGGGGCGACGCGTCTCTAGACTGATCTCTCGAGGGGGACCAGCCTCGGCGAACGTCGTGCGAACCAGGGTCGACGGTCATTGCCGAATCGTGACCCTCGACGTCCCCGCCACGCGTATTAGTCGAGGGAGACACGCAGTCCGATCTGTTAGGCAATTACGCGTCGAGGACAGTGGGAAGCGGCGTGAGAAGCCTACTCACCCTGGAGAGCTAGAAGACACCGCGGGCGACTCATATAACCCCCAGGACCTATTAGAAGGGCGTGCCACGCCTGCGTCAAGTCCAGAATGACAGTCTACAGACTGTTCGAGCGCGAACCTCAGTTTCCTGACTCCCCCCGACATACGCGGCTGCCAGAGCAATGAGAAAAGACATCCCAGCATAAAGGATCGATTTCTTACAGACCTCGGACTGAGAGGGGATAGGAACGGTCATCCCGCTGGTGCTCTCCAAAGACCTATACAAGGCAAATTGAGCACATGACGTTCTCCCACAGGCGGTAAAATTGCTCACCGTCGCGCAGAGGTCATCCGCTGCGCCAAAGTCGAATATGAGGGGAAAATGAAGCGAGGGGGAAGGGGGAAAAGGTAGAAAGGACACTAGGCGAAGAGGAGAAGGATATAGAGTACCAGAGGTGACAGGCATGGACCGTGCTGCTCCGCTAGACTAGGCTACTTGCTAGCGCGCGCGTGCGAATCATGTGTTCCGCGAGCAACTGTTCCCGAGCCGGGCCATGCTTCGCGGAACCAAAAGGCTATTGCTTATTCAAGATGATCATTCAGGACCGTTCCGTCAATACACCAGGCAAAGCAGAATGTAAGCAGTAGCAGCAGATACGAGGTACAACGGCGCTGTGACCGTTCCGCATGGTATAAATATCGACAACTGCAAGGGGGTTGTACGGAAGGATGATGGCACACAGATTGTGAAGAGAACACGTAAAGATATGGGTTACTCCGGCGGGAGACCCCGACCCTCGCGATAGCCGCGCATGAACGAGCGGAAAGGGTGAGCCAGCAGGTCGAAGAAAGTCTTTGCGTCCTCGACCTCGAGCATTTGCGCAAGTGATGGTCTCCTCCGTAGAGGCTGTGGTTGATCCTCCTCGTCGTCTTCACGTCGACGTTTACGGCTAGTTCGCGAAGGCGGCTCCGAAGAGGCTGGACCAGCTTCCACGGGTACCACCGGTGAGGTAGCTTTGGCTGGCGTCTCGACCGTCATTTGAGCCAAATTGAGAGCAGAGATGTTATCCCGACCTGGGCTTTGGGCGACAGCGGGATGTTGAGTTGACCTTCAAGGAAAACCGTCAGCATTGTGTAATACATGAAATAGGGGAGTCAACTTACGGAGCGCACGTTGCCTTGTGCTCCTTCCAGAGTGTCAAATCATAATCGACCTCTCCCCTGACGGATACCTCTGCATGACATATTGCACATTCCACGCTCTGTTCACTGATCTTCTTCACTTGACCATCGTTCACAAGGCTCAGCTTACGCTGAGCTGTGGCGACATGGCTGCTTGGCCGTTCACTAGCAGGCCTCTCTGCACGAGGTCTCTCAGCTAGTGAGATCCCCAATGGAGCAGCGGAGCTCGTACCATCGTGGACTGCATCGACTACCACCGCCGCGACTTCATCGACGATGATATCCTTTCTTGTGCGCTCCTCTTCCGCGGCGTCAGATTTCGTATCCTCAGCCTCTGGCCTAAGCCAACATCAACGCAAATGACAATCGAGGTAGGGGGGACGTGACATCGACTCACCTCTCGGAGGCATCCTGCTGCTTGTGATGTTGTTTGCGGTGAAGAATCCAGTGCTGCATCACATATTTCCGCTTCAAATTGAGCTGCACCCACTCCTCACACGCTCTGCAGTAGACGCGATGCGGTTCTACCTCTCCCGAGAGCGGATCGCTTTGCAGGAATTCAATACGTTCTGCCTCGGTCTTACGCGTCCGGATGTTTCCCTTCGACGACTCGCCTGTAACTGAATGTTCGTCTGCCGTGCTATCCGGTGTGCCCGTACGGCTGTGATGAATAGGGTGCGAGTACGATGAAGGAGACATTATGTGTGAGCACGGTGAATGGAGCATAGTTTTTCCAGCATACTTTGTTTGCGCTAGCAAGCCGTTGACGCCTATGGCCGAAAGGGGCTTGACGCTTGTCGGCGGGGAGCGCTGATCATCAGCGGGGAGGTCCGGCGGATTGGGAGCGTCCCGCCCGTGCGAAGCCGCTTTGGTTTGAGCCGGAGGCTTCTTATTGCGTGAAGGAGTTTCACCTGGCCTGCGAGAAGGGCGTCTTGGCGACGGAGCAGATAACCTAGTGCAAGAAGGGTATGTCACGATGTCTCAGATCCGGCCAGGGAGATTGAGGTGAGGAAGCAACATACATGACGTCGACTCTGTTCGGAGGTTGTTTCTTCGATGTGGCCTGGAGAAACAATCAGTGATGTTAAACGATTTATCAAAAACTAAGCACGGATCAGACTCAATGAAGGGCAACCAATCGGTCCACGAGAGTCGTCAACATGCACTGACATCGTTATGTCATCGCCTTACAATGCTGATCGGCTAGAGTTTCTCAAGAGGATCAGGGCAGCGCATCACTGCTGAAACTCGAGATGCGTGCCAGGCGCAGCTGATGCGAATTAAATAGCAAATGCAAAATACCGTGACAGCTCACGTGGTGGATATCCACACGGAAAGCAGTAGTGAACAGTGTGCTTGACCCTCCGCAGCCGCGTGCGCTTGCACAAAGAACGGCAAGTCTGCCATTTTCTGGTAGATGCAGATACACTGGCAGATCGGAGGCCTCATCAAACTAGACCCACAGTTCCAACGAAGTGCAAAGCCGAAGCAGATATCAATTGCCAGTTCAAACAGTGAAACCCACCTTTTCGTTGGCCTGGCTCACACTGGTATCTCCTTGCGCCTGAATCCCCTCTTCCGCTTCATCCCAATCGTCATCATCGTCGTCCCCTCCATCCTCCGGTTCGGTCTCAGGCACGGGATCGGCATCCACTTCCTTGCTTCCTTCATTGTCAGAGCCCGAATGAGACGAAACACTTCAAAACGATTAAGTCTGGATCACTGCGCGGAAACGAGTGTAATAGCGACGAACTTGGCATCATTATCGCTCTCCACGTAGTCCAGGCGTTTCTGCGCAGCAGGTGGACATGAGCGTTTGTCGCTTACGCGCACCTAAGAGGGACAAGGTCACCTTGCTCCGCGTGCTGTACACCTTCACACGTCCCGGTCTGGACAGACGTTAGGCACAGCAAGCTAACTTAGCCTGGCCATACTCACGGCTCGGTTGGCGGAGGCGAGCTGTCGATATCCATGGCTTGCAGAGGGGTGGGGATTTCTCCAAAGGGAGAAGGAAAGACGATGCACAAGAGCTCGAGGTTGCCTGGCGGTGGCGGCTGCGGTCAAAGCAGGTTCGCGACCACGTGCGGCCATAATGCGCGAGCGTCTAAATTACTCTTCCAATCCGATGTCTCGTTTTGCATTTTGGAGGCTCTCGTTTCGCTGTCGAGCTCTTCTTGCGACGCCTTGCGTAGAATCTTCGCCGCAGAGTGCTAATCAGTGTATTTCCGACATCTAACGGATCCAGGCAGTGCCATGGCTGAGCCTGAGGATCTTCTCTCCGAGTCTTTACAAGTTCTGTACGACTGTGCGCCTGTTGCACACTCGTCTGCGGGATCGGTCTTCACCTACACCTATCCTGGGCTGTATACTGAAAAAATGACTCGCAGTACCTCCAACCCGTTGCTGACTATTACTGTCCGAACACCCGATACTCAGGCTGCCAACTGGCCCCTGCATGCATCCTCCATATGGATGTCATCTCTGTATATGGCTGATAATCTCTCTGAGCTGGATCTCGACCGCCATATACGCGTGGTGGTCGACAGGGGCGAACGCTTACGCGTGCTAGAGTTAGGGGCGGGGGCAGGCCTTCCGGGAATCCTAAATGCTAGGTTGTATGATGATGTGGAAGTTGTCTCGAGTGATTATCCCGACGAGGAGCTCATACGGACTTTATCGGACAACATCAAGCAGAATGAGGGTCCAGACAGGTGTCGTGCCGTGCCGTATGCCTGGGGATCTGATCCTGCCATTCTCTTCACCCCCTCGCCTAAAGGTGCATCGCCATTGGATCCGAGCTTCGACGTGGTCATCGCCGCCGATACACTGTGGAATTCCGAGCTGCATTCCCTCTTCATCCAGACCATTTGCTCGACGTTGAAGAGATCGACTGAGTCCCGGGTATATCTTGTTGCGGGCTTGCACACAGGAAGGTACACGATACAGGCGTTTTTGAGGGCTGTATCAGAAACGGGGCTCGAGATCGAGACCGCCACGGAGAAGGAAATTAATGGCACGACGACTCGACCGTGGAACGTCGAAAGAGACGAGGAGACTGAGAAGGACCGGAGACGTTGGGTGGTATGGGTGGTCCTCAGGTGGGGATCGCTTTAGCAGGTACCGGTGGCATCAAAACCGCTGGCTTGCTTCTTTGGCAAAAGAGTGAACTCCCATAGCTAGAGGCCACTTGCGCAACGCAGTCCCCAAGAATGCTTTGTGCCTCCACATCGTGCGCAACAACGCGATGATCTCGAGGTACGGGGGATCTGTATATCCAGCGGTCATTCGTCTTGGCTATGCCTCTTGAATCCAATTGTTGCAACGCGATGCCGTCACAACAAAGGGAGTGCAACGGGATGTTGGTTTGACCTGCCAGATTAGGCCACATCCATCCTCGTGTATCTCTCGTGCCACGCTACATAGACTCGTTCTTCCGGAAGCCCGTTTGCCTCATGGCCTATATATCGATACGGCCTCTTGGCGTGCCCCACTCTTCCCAACCATTACCTCTCCTCTCCTGTCGCCGTCCGTGACAGAACGCTCGCCGATATGCTCGTAGGGCTATGGCAGAATAGGCTCGCTCTGTTAGCGATATTTGCCTCCGTCATCGTGCAATGTGCTGTACCTGTCTCCGCTGCGGTCCCCTCTCTCCAGTATTTCAGGTGAGCTCCGGAGCCACTGTGTCATCCATTACACGGACACTCATTGTAAGAATTGCGAGCAGAAATAATAACGGCGAGGTGAAACGTCCGTCGGTCCTCAGCTGTCTGCGTCCCCGCTCGTGAATATCTCACCTGCACGTCTTGCAATCTTCTCAGACATCGTTCATGACCGATCCGAGACCTACGATGATGCAATACCAGTGCAGCCATCCACCCTGACTGAGACTCTGCACGAAGACCTGATCACCTTTTCTGAAGTCTTGGATGAGTATTCTGGGGACGACGCGAACACCTTGGAGTTCGTGTTCCCAATGAACTTCTGGGAGCGGGCGGTCGCGCTGGGCAGCCGTGCGCAGCAGTATGCAGAGCACCTCGTGGCAACTGCCATCGCTCAGCATGACGCTGCACTCGGAGCGCGGCTGCTTCGTATACGTTCGGCGATGAACCAGCTCGTCGTTCACGCGAACGCGCTAGAACGCGATTTAAACACGGCGGCTGCGGAGAATTATGAGAGCATGGAATTCATTTCCGAGAGCCTCGAAGATATCCTGGCGCGACTGTTCGAAGAATTGAAGAAAATGTTCCCGCCTCCGGACCAAGCTCCGCACCACAAAAAACGACTGAAGCATGTCGATATAGCATTGAAGAAGGCGGAGGAGGCGATCATAGCGTTTGGCATGCAGCATGGCATCTCAGAAGAGGCTATGCGGGTGCACATGGAAAACATTCGCCCGCTCCTTGAACAGGTTGTCGTCGAGATCGGTGAGTGTTGGACATGATCGTGCGATCTGCACAGTCACTCATTTCATACGTTGCAGGCGATCTGATTGAGGAACATCCCATCCTGGCCGAGACACTACTCGGAATTGGTGTCTTTATGATCATACCCGCATCGCTTATTCTGCGCCCTCTTCTCGGCGTGCTCGGTTTTGGACCATATGGACCGATCGAAGGTGAGCCTTACGCATATATCGACGCTGCATGTCAGTTGTGTTGAGGCCATAGTCAGGTTCCGCTGCAGCATGGGCACAGCGAGTGTTTATCGGTGCGCAAATCAAGGTAGGCACCTGGTTTGAACACCTCCAAAAGGCAGGACTGCTGGAGGCTATCCCGAAAAGCATCTGGGAGACTATCAAGGATCTGTTCCAGCGCTTCATGCAATGGGCGTTTCATCGTTAACAGATGAGTAGTCGTCTGAGATCCGTCGTCATTGCATGACTTTATAATATTATGCATATCCGTGCGCCATTTTTCGAGGTATTCCTTCATCATTACTGGAGTATGTTGTACTTATAGATTTATCCTGGGCATCAATATGAGCAGTTTTATAGATGACCGCGTGTCCCATATGGATCATAGATGTTTCAATGTATAATATGTTGGTTCGAGACGCCAAATCGTCTCTTAAGAGTGCAGATCTATGCATGCCCGAGTCGTATGACTACGCATAAGGTTCTGTCACGCCGGGGCGCTTCTGGATCATATAATAGGTTGTGACGACGAGTTTAGCCGAGCTTTCTCTTTCCTCTTCCGCTCATCGTCGACTGCGGCGCTCTCGTTACAATGCAGTTCAATGCCTTGCGCGGCGTGCTCGCCGTGTTCGCTCTCGGCGCATTCACGTTTGTGTCTGTCGCAACTCCAGTCGCTGCGGCAGTGCCTTCGCTCCGCTCCGCAAAGTATGTCCTTATTGAATTTTGATCTTGACTGGGCGAGCCATCTGAAACGATTGAGCACAGGGCAATTTTCGAAGATGTGAAGGGTCCGTTCACGTGGAACAGTCTAGCTGGCATCACTATCGTTGACTGTCTCTGACGTATTTTTGTGCAGTCTTCAAGAATCTGGTATACAACAAACCGGAGAAGGATGTCAACGAAGCGTCTGACCGATCAGCTAACGTCGGGGAGCTTGTGCAAGAAAAGGTTGATGTCGCATTCGTCGATGACACAGACGACGAATATGTCGACCTCACCGACAAGTTATTCAATCTGGCATTCCCGATGAGTTTCTGGGAAGATCTCATGAAGCTGGGCGGACGCGCGAAGCAATATTCCGAGTACCTGATGAGCACAGTGAAGGCCGAAAATGACGCTGCCGTCGGGTACAAGCTGCACCGCATGCGATCGGCCGTGGGGCAGCTCGTTCTTGACGCTGGCGCATTGAGGCGCGACGTAGAGGCGTCTGCTTACAGAGTACATGGGGAGAGTATGGAAGATATCGGAAAGAAACTGGACTCGCTTATGGCGGAGCTCTTCGAGCAATTGAAGGTCATGTTCCCGCCGCCTGACCATGCGCCTGGCCATCTGGAAAGAAAGGAGAAAGTCGACGCAGCGCTGGGCAAGCTCGAAGAAGCCCTCATTCACTTTGGCGTCCAGTGCGGTGTCTCGGAGGAGAGTATGCGTGCGCATACAGCCAACATCATCCGGACCATCGAAGTTATTGCCATAACCACTGGTGAGTTGCCACTCCTTATTGCTGTTTGGCGCGTTAGGTAACATGACCATCGTGCTAACAGGCGACCTCATGGAGCAACACCCGCATCTTACTGACACGGTCGTGGCCATCGTCGTCTTCATGATTGTCCCGGAGGAGTTGATTCTCCGGCCCATTCTGAGCGTCCTAGGCTTCGGACCCTCAGGACCGATCAAAGGTGAGCTTCCATATACACGCGTCCCGTGAGAACCAGGTTCAGCCTGTATTGTGCCAGGGTCTGCCGCTGCTTGGGCGCAGCGTGTGTTCTTCGGAGCAGAGGTCAAGGCGGGAAGCTGGTTCGCGCACCTGCAGGAGGCTGGCATGGTATCCAAAATACCGCAAAGAGTCAAGAAAGGACTTTGGGCTGGCATTATTGGCGCCATCGGTGGAGCCGGTGCCATCGGGCATTCATGCTTTGGCCGCTGAACATACGTTCCCTTAGTCACCTGTTACGTAGAGTCTGTCTGACCCGACCTAGCTCGCTACGCGTATGTTTTAGCAATTCGTGTAAATGATCTGATAAAGTCTTAACACTTCCTATCTGTGTTCGTAGTTCTCGTGAACACATGACGAAAGAATCGATATGGATGTGTCAGCGGTTACTCAAGAGCTCGATAATTCAACGTATCCAAAGCTACATCGGGAAGGTGTACAGACTGTCCAATGTTCCGCTGTTCCGAAACAAAACCATTCCCAGCAAGTTGTGCTTATCAAGCTGCATGTTCACGAGACGGGGCTACTGTGGAGCACTTCCTCTCACCGCCGAGGAGGTGACTCTGAGATATCTGCATGTATAGCGCATCTGCGTGAGATAGGCGAGGAGCCTGTGAAATTTCGTCTGGCACAACGCTATGCTCTGTGGAGGTATAGGAACCCAAATCAATGGAGAATAGAATGCGGCACGACAGTGCGTAGGTGAGTCTGTAGGTAGTGAGAGGAATCCGGCCGGCCACTTGTCTCATTCCAGTATTCCGAAGCTCTAGCCCCAGAGAGCCTGGCGGTGATGGTGCGGTTGAAAAGAAACAATCAGGATATGCCTCGCGTTTGATGACTCGAACACTGAGCAATTACACGTTTAATCATTAATGATAGCTCGTTCTGTCCGTTTAAATGGTCGAACGTTCGAATGTTGACGTTCACCATCCAACAGTATTGTTCGATGATAGGCATACAATGTGGCTTATGATTTGAATTTGATGCGTATTGGTCCTGGTTGGTCCAGGAGCGACTCGGAGTCATGATCGGATCTCGATGATCGAGACATAGCTAGGCTGCTCTTGAGCGCTCCGAGCTCGTCAACAAGGACGAGTGATGGCTTTTGTTCAACAATGTCTGTCGATGGCGAGGATGTTTAAAAAAAAAAGTGGCTGAAGACATCAATGTGACTGCTCATATTCACACGATCTCCGCTGCGTTCCGTTTATCTGCAGGTAGTATGTTAAACGTTGCACAGCCTCAGGCTGCGTGCGGCTCGTCAACCTCAACTCTGGAGATGTTCCCGTGCAAGGCACAAAGTAGAACAATTCAATCTAAAGCTTGCGCCACGTGCTGCGCCAACGAACATAGCCACAGTTCTCTTACCAAGTTGTTGTTGCCGACTTCTCATGACTTCGATCGGGGCCAATCACGTTTGTTCTTTCCCACTCGAGATATTCGTACCTGGCAACTAATTCGTACGCATGAACTCTTGCCTTCATGATGTACTTCAGAGGATATGCTGTGAGTCTATAGTCAAGTGATGATTGATATCAGAAGAAGAACAGGCACTGAGCCTTCGCTCCAGGTTTTCAAATAATCGATGGTCTGCGGCATTGCTCTGCTGTGAATGAATAAGCTGCTGTGGAGGATTCTCGTAAAGAATTTCTCCGGTTTGAGCGATGTCATTTTCACCTATGATTCAGGACTTCGATCCCACGTCACTTTGAAAGCAGTTGATGGAGCGGCTTTGAAGCTCTTGTCTTCCCTGATAAATGTTCGCTTTCTGACGGTCCCTCTCTCCCCCTGCCGCGTCTATTGCTTTCCGACTATTATAGATGTTTGCATGCCCCATATGGCTTGTAGATCTTCAAAAGGGGGTGCCATATGTTGATCCGAGACGCCAAACGCTCTAACAAGACGTATCTGTCACTTAAGAGGCGGATCTATGCATACCTCCTCGTATGTCTACTATAAGGTTCTGTCACAAGGCGCTTCTTGATTGATGGCCATATAATAGGTTGTGACGACGAGTTTAACCTCACTTCCTCTTTCCTCTTCCACTCATCGTCGACTGCAGTGCTCTCATTACAATGCAGTTTGGTACCTTGCGCGGCGTGCTCGCCGTGTTCGCTCTCGGCGCGTTCACGTTTGTGTTTGTCGCAACTCCAGTCGCCGCGGCAGTCCCTTCGCTCCATCAAGCGAAGTACGCACCTGTCATATTCTCATGTTGACTGTGCGAGCCATCTGAAACGCTTGAGCTCAGAGTAATTGTCGAAGATGTGAAGGGTCCGTTCACGTGGAACAGTCTAGCTGGCATCACTATCGTTGACTGTCTCTGACGTATATTTGTGCAGTCTTCAAGAATCTTGTATACAACAAACCGAAAAAGGATGTCAACGAAGCGTCGGACCGATCGACTAACGTCGGGGAGCTTGTGCAAGAAAAGGCCGATGTCGCATTCGTCGATGACACAGACGTCGAATATGTCGAACCTACTAGTACGGACAAACTGTTCAATCTGGCATACCCGATGAGTTTCTTGCAAGATCTCATGAAGCTGGGCGAAGACGTGAAGCAACACGCCGAGCACCTGATGAACAAAGTGAAGGCCGAAAATGACGCTGCCGTCGGGTACAAGCTGCACCGCATGCGATCGGCCGTGGGGCAGCTCGTTCTTGACGCTGGCGCATTGAGGCGCGACGTAGAGGCGTCTGCTTACAGAGTACATGGGGAGAGTATGGAAGATATCGGAAAGAAACTGGACTCGCTTATGGCGGAGCTCTTCGAGCAATTGAAGGTCATGTTCCCGCCGCCTGACCATGCGCCTGGCCATCTGGAAAGAAAGGAGAAAGTCGACGCAGCGCTGGGCAAGCTCGAAGAAGCCCTCATTCACTTTGGCGTCCAGTGCGGTGTCTCGGAGGAGAGTATGCGTGCGCATACAGCCAACATCATCCGGACCATCGAAGATATTGCCATAACCACTGGTGAGTTGCCACTCCTAATTGCTGTTTGGCGCGTTAGGTAACATGACCATCGTGCTAACAGGCGACCTCATGGAGCAACACCCGCATCTTACTGACACGGTCGTGGCCATCGTCGTCTTCATGATTGTCCCGGAGGAGTTGATTCTCCGGCCCATTCTGAGCGTCCTAGGCTTCGGACCCTCAGGACCGATCAAAGGTGAGCTTCCATATACACGCGTCCCGTGAGAACCAGGTTTAGCCTGTATTGTGCCAGGGTCTGCCGCTGCTTGGGCACAGCGAGTGTTCTTCGGAGCGGAGGTCAAGGCGGGAAGCTGGTTCGCGCACCTGCAGGAGGCTGGCATGGTATCCAAGATACCGGAAAGCGTCAAGAAAGGACTTTGGGCTGGCATTATTGGCGTCATCGGTGGAGCCAATGCCATCGGGCATTCGTTCTTTGACATCTGAATATACGTTCCCCTTGGTCACCTGTTATGTAGAGGCTGTCTGGCTTGAGCTAGCTTGCTACGCGTATGTTATAGCAATCCGTGTAAATGAACTCATAAAGTCTTCTCTTCTCCTATCTGTGTTCGTGATTTTCATGAATACATGACGAAAGAATGGACTCGGATACGGATGCGTCAGCGGTTACTCAAGGGCTCGCGTTTCCAAAGCTACATCGGGAAGGTGTACAGCCTGACTGTGCCCGATGTTCTGATGTTCCGCTGTTCCGAAACAAAAGCATTCCCCGACAAAGTTGTGCAGCGTATTTGTCAAGCTGCTTGTTCACGAGACGGACCTAGTGTGGAGCACTTACTCTCACTGGCGAGGAGGCGAATCCTGGAGATCTGCGTGTATGGCAGATTTGCGTGAGATCGACCAGGGGCCTGTGAAATTTCGTCTGGCACGAGGTTATGCTCTGTGGAGGTACCGAGAAGATGTATGGGAACCCAAAACAATAGAGAATCAGGATTCGCTACAGTACATTTAATAAAAACATTGAACAATTACATGAATAATTCTTTGTCGGTTGAGATGTTCGAACACTTGAATTGGCGTTTACCATCCAACAGTGTTGTTTAATGATAGGCATATATTGGTTGTGATCTGAATTTGATGCATATTGGTCCTGGTTGGTCCCGGAGCGGGTCATGATCGGATCTCGATGATCGAGACATCCGCTAGGCTTGAGTGATCCGAGCCACCGATGTCAACAAGGACGAGTGATAGCTTTTGTTCGACAATGTCGATCCATGGCGAGTATTGTTCTATAAAAATGCGGCTGAAAACATCAACGTGACTGCTCATGTCCACACGGACCTCCGCTGCGTTCCGTTTATCTGCAAATAGTTTATTAAACGTTGCATAGCCTGCGTACGGCCCGTTAACATTGGAGATGGCCTCGTGCAAGGCACAATATAATCTGAAGCTTGCACAACATGCTGCGCTGGTAAACGTAGCCACAGTTCTCTTACCAAGCTGCTGTGCCGACTTCTCATGACTTCGGTCGGGCCAATCACGTTTGTTCTTTCCCCTTAAGATATCAGTGGAAGTCAATCTGGATGCATGAACATTCTAATTTCTATGGTTTGTTTTGGGGGGACATGCTCTGACTTAAACTTCCAATTGTGAGACGGTTGAGTCATGGTCTATTCCAGGAGGGGCTCGGGGATTGAACTCCGGCCCTAGGTTTCTAAATGATCGATGGTACGCGGCCTTGCTCTTCTGTGAATGAATAAGCTGCTGTGGGAGAGTTTTGCTAATAATGTCTCCGGTTTGAGCGATGTGATTTGTTCCTTACCTGGTGACTGACTTCGACGGCACGTCACTTTAAAAGCAATTGATGGAGCGGTATTAAAGCTCTCGTCTTCCTTGATAAATGTTCGCTTTCTGACGACCCCTCTCGCGCCTGCTCTTTCTTCACGGTCCTGAAATCATTTTTGTCTTTCGTCTTCCGGCATGTCTTGCGCAGATATAGAGACACTTGACATCAGCTCTTCGAAACAGCAAACATCCGATCAGATAGCCAAGCAGGATGTCTGCGTATTACAGACAGCAGAAGATATCATCGACGAGAAAGTTCACGACGCTCCTCTCTACAACCCGCACGTCGATGTGAGCGGCGTGGACGAACGGAAACTCATGAGAAAGGTGGACTGGAACCTCGTACCGTGGCTATCGTTTTTGTTCATGCTGAGCTTCTTGGATCGGACGAGCGTCGGGAACGCCAAGGTGAGCGATGCGATACAATTTGGACATACCAGCTGATTGAGTTCGCATATACCCGAACAATCAGTTGTATGGGATGGAAACGGACTTGCACATAACAGACCAGCAGTATCTCGTTGCGCTCACAATTTTCTTCATTCCGTACGCCTTGTTCGAAGTAAGCTATATTGAACCATTATAATATTTTGAGACCAAGTCACTTACCAACTGAACCCCTAGGTACCGTCAAATGTTATCTTGAAGAAGCTGAGGCCTTCAATATGGCTTTCCATTCTAATGCTTTTCTGGGGGATTATGATGGCATGTCTCCTATTTCCCCGTCCCTCTCCCCTCCCCCTCCAGATTGCGAAGCAGCGTGACCTTTTCTAACTTTCTTGCCTAGACTATACAGGGCCTTGTGTCCAATTACGCCGGGCTCCTCAGTGAGTGCATCTTCTCTTCAATGTTCTTCTCGCCCGGGATTTGGCCCATCGCATTTGGGGCTCAGATTGGCTGCCCGAGATCCGCGAAGGCTGAGTAGCGGGTCCGCGGAAGACCGCTCTACCGCGGATCTCCTTTAACTTTAGTCCCCGAGGATGTGCCTGAATCCTCGGAGCTGAGCGGCCACACGTTCCGGATGCATCTGTGCTCACGAACGGCTTCTAGCCATGCGATTCCTCCTCGGCACGTTCGAATCTGGTCTCTTCCCTGGAGTTACGTATCTTCTATCATGGTGCGTTCCGCCGCCTTTCGCAGCGAGATGTTCACTGAGGCGGCTTTTGGGTGGGCGTAGTTGGTACAAACGTTCTGAGTTTGGCTTTCGCGCCGCAATCTTCTTCTCCTCGACGACAATCGCCGGAGCTTTCGGCGGCCTCCTTGCCGTAAATTACATTCTTTCCGCCATCCACTTATGCTCATCAAGCCTTTATTTTCCTTGTGCAGGCCGGCCTCTCGCAAATGGCCGGACTCGGGGGTAAGGCCGGCTGGTCCTGGATATTCATAATCGAGGGCCTCATCACCGTCGTCGCGGGCGTCTTGTCTTTCTGGTTCGTCCAGGACTTCCCCGACACTGCTCGTTTCCTGAATGAAGCTGAGCGCACAATGATAATCCGCCGCCTCCAGGCGGACGGCCAGTTCAGCGCGGCGGGAGAGAAGCTGAAATTAAGGTATCTATGGAAGGCACTTATCGACTGGAAGACGTGGCTCGGCAGTGAGTGTCGGATTGTCTTGCTGTGCAGCGGCAGTGATGAATATTTCATCCTGGTGAAAAGTGGCGCTGTATATGGGAAATGAAGGCCCGCTCTTTGCAATTGCTCTATTCATGCCGAGTATCATTGATGAGGTGTGTTCGCGCGTTCTGTCTAGCTGAGGTGTAGTCACAATATTGTTCCCGGTAGCTTGGCTACACCGCAACCCCAGCCAACCTTCTGACTGTCCCGGTCTACGTCCTGGCATGTACCTCCACATGCGTGGTCGGCCTATTGGCGGACCGTCACGGCGGGCGAGGATACTTCAATATGTACGTCGCCAGTCTTTGGCACCGAAATGTTATATTTGAACCTGCCCTCCTCCCCGGTTGTTAGTGGTTGCATGCTGGTAGCCGGAACTGGCTTCATCATTCTCATCTTCTCGCGCAACCCGGCGCTGTCCTACTTCGCGGTGTACCTTGCTGCATGCGGTATATATCCATGCGCGCCCAATGTGCTCGCATGGATGTCGAGCAACGTGGAGGGGTCGTATAAGCGGAGTGTGGCGCTGGGAATGGTTATCAGCTGGGGGAACCTCAACGGAGCAGTCTCGTCCAATTTGGTACGTATCCCGTCCATTAGATCCCTCCTTCAAGTGCCTTCTCACGATCGACGTTGCCGTAGTACCGTGCACAGGACGCGCCGTGGTACACACTGGGACACGGCATTCTCCTTATCTACATCGGCATCTCCCTCTTGTGTTCCACGACCTTCATCATCCTCCTCCGACGGGAGAACCGGAAACGCGATAGGGGCGAGAGGGACGAGATCATTGTGGGTGTGAACGAGGACCGCGCAGAGCTGGCGCGGAACGGCACGTTCGCGAGCGTGGACGATGCGAGGCGGGAGAAGGGAGATGAATGGAGCGGGTACCGGTATAAGTGATGGTGGCGATGATATTGCAGGTAGACCGTCCAATTATCGTAGGAGATGAACGAATCTTCTGTGCCGGATAGGTTTTCGAAGCTTCTGTTGCCGGTCGGCAGGTCCAGCTGCCGTATGTTCTGCGCAAATTGCACAGATGACATTGAATGATATCAAAGCGCTTTACGCGATGTATCGTGGTGCATCGCAGCCGTATCATGATTGTGTGAATAGAAACTACTCAACGGTTCCTGGAATTGTTCGACCGCCCGCGTAGCGTTCAAGATCTTCACAGCAGCAGCCAAGCGGTCCTCTTCGATTCCTCAATTAAGAGTTAGCCATGCTTCTGGGTCATCCCGATGTGACTCTTCGTGGAACCACTACGTCATGCAAAAATGACTGAAGAAAGCCAAGGGAGTGTTTTTAAGTCGAGATGCGCTCGAAAACAAACAGGACACCTAGCCGCTTCATGATAAGTGCTCTTGACGTATATCACGACAGGAGAAATGTGCCAGGTTGCATACCATCTAAATATACTATTATCTCCACTAAAACTGAACTCACCTCACTGTTCACCAATGCAAGGTGTCCCATTTGCTATCGCATGAGAGTAGTACCACAAGCAAACACAATTGAATCTGAAAATGAGAGCGCCGAGTTGATCGATCGTATCGAGTTGCGCCAGAACTAGAAATTCTTATGCGCCATGACGATCGGGCGTACGAAGTAGTCGCTCCAGCCGAGAGATTCTTGGAGACCCAATCTGATCATGAATGTTGTCCAAATTACACAGCTTTCCAAGTTCCAGATTACTTGATGCTTGAAATATGTTTTCGTTCGAACACGAGATCGGGCTTGAAAGGTCCATTCAAGCGCCCGCACATGGCCGCTGGATGGCACGCGACGGTGAGCAATTACAATGTCTCTTGTCTTTCACTAAAATCTACTGGCAAGCATAAGAGCGGTGACTTTCAATTTCGAGACTGTGAGAGACGCGGGCACGAACTGGGGCATCTGTGCCGCAGCCTTGTCACGTGTACCTTGCTGAGCGATTCATCCCAGGGAAATTCTTGGCAGCGTTATCGTTCCTCGACGCCGGTGTCTAACCCCACAATGCGGGGAATGGCCTCAATGAATTCCCAGTCAGTAATCGAGAGTTGTCTGCCTGTCCTACCGCGATCGTGAGCCTAGAGTTCTGGCAGGTATGGAGAATAGCCATGCAAGGCCGCCAGTCAAATTACCAGCCTAAGTGCGGAAGCGAGTTCATGCTGCCAAGACAGCGCTGTAGCGCGAGTACGGGGTAATCATGTTACAGATGACACCAATGGTCCCATGATTCCTTTATCCAAGCATTTTTATCGGAACGCAAGCCGACATTGGTATGCACCGAGTAGTGGCGAGCAATATAAGACTGGTGCGGCGCCCATCAGGCGACTCTGCAAGGCTTTCGCGCCCTGTACGGTACCACCATCTTCTTCAGTATTTCAGAAGCGGCGGTCATGACCTCTTCCTCTGCCTCGGAACGTCTCTCCGGCGAAAAGGCCCACATATCACACCTCGAAGAAATTATAGAAGAGAAGAGTAGCCGAGAAGTGCCATATAACGCCGATGTTGACGCGAGCGGTGTGGACGAGCGCAAGTTGATTAGAAAGCTCGACTGGCACCTTGTCCCATGGTTGTCGTTCCTGTACTTGCTGAGCTTCCTGGATCGCACGAGCATTGGTAACGCGAGGGTGAGTATCACACGTCGTGCCGCAGTGAGGAGGGGGAAGCTTACATGTGCATGTGCAGCTGTATGGACTCGAGACCGACTTGCACATTACGGACCAGCAATACCTCATCGCACTCACGATATTCTTCTTCCCTTATGCGTTGTTCGAAGCAAGTATAATCCGCCGAACCTCCTCGCTGTTCGCTAAAATAGCGTTTGCAGGTACCGTCCAATATTTTCTTGAAGAAATTGCGACCATCAGTGTGGTTGTCGTTTCTCATGACGGCATGGGGACTCATGATGGTCTGTTCGGAAACCGTGTCATGAGGTACAGATGAAACTTACCCTTTTACCCGCTACAGACTCTGCAAGGACTGGTGCACAACTATGGTGGTCTGCTATGTGAGTAGAACTTTATCCGTATGCGAACAGTCCCTTGCACAACCAAAGATGGTAGGGCGACGTTGCCAGGTTGCGACCGAGCCCTCAACTAGAAGACACTGATCCGAATGATTTGCAGCAATGCGTTGGTTCCTAGGCACGTTCGAAGCCGGACTTTATCCCGGCGTAAACTATTATCTGTCATGGTGTGTAGTCAATCCTTTCCAGTACCTCACTTCATGATGCTTATTATCTCACTTTGATCAGCTGGTACAAGCGCTCTGAGTTTGGTCTGAGAGCCGCGATCTTCTTCTCCGCAGCCACGGTCTCTGGTGCCTTTGGTGGTCTTCTCGCTGTGCGTTGACAGTTCGGCGCTCCACATGGATCTTGATTAGCCTAACATTCGGCCTTCCATCGCCATGGCAGGCCGGGATTTCTCACATGGCAGGTGTCGGAGGAAAGCCAGGGTGGGCATGGATCTTCATCCTCGAAGGGCTCGTGACCATCATCGCCGGCATTGCCTCATTCTGGATCATCCAGGACTTCCCGGATACGGCGAAGTTCCTGACTGAGGCCGAGCGAACCGTAGTCGTGCGCCGGCTGCAGTTGGATGACCAGTTCAGTGCGGCTGGAGAGAAGTTCCAGATGCGGTACGTGTGGAAGAGCTTGTTTGACTGGAAGACGTGGTTATCAAGTGCGTGGAAAGATTCATCGTGAATCCTAGCGCTCGTTGAACGATGACTTTCCGCACAGTGCTGCTGTACATGGGAACAGACGGTCCGCTGTATGCATTTGCGCTGTTTCTGCCTAGCATCATCAACCAGGTAGGTCGCTGGCATTGCCTTCTTGAATGACCGTGCGACTGATCCGACTGCAACTTACAGCTCGGTTACTCCGCCACGCCTGCAAATCTATTAACCGTACCAGTGTACGTTCTTGCCTGCGCGTGCACATGCGGTGTGGGATTCCTAGCGGACCGGTACGGGGGCAGAGGCTATATGAACATGTGAGCGAATGTCATACTTGTCAATTGGCCGCATGCTAACCGCATTTAGTGCCTGCCTCCTTGTAGGCGGAGCAGGTTACATCATTTTGATCGCCTCGCGGAATGCAGCCGTATCATATTTTGCGGTGTATCTGGCAGCATGTGGCATCTATGCCAGCATCGCGAACGTCGTCGCCTGGGTGTCGAACAACGTCGAAGGCTCCTACAAGCGGAGCGTGTCCCTGGCTATGGTGATCGGTTTCGGGAACATCAATGGCGCAGTTTCTTCGAATGTGGTACGTCGTGTGTTCATTGATCCTCTCGCAGAATGCGCGTGCCAAGAAAATTTGTTTCCATAGTACCGCGCCGATCAAAAACCGTGGTACACGACGGGCCATGGCATCATTTTGATGTATATCGGCATTGGGTTGATCTGCTCGGTGTTGTACATAATACTGCTCAAGCGAGAGAACAGGAAGCGGGATCGCGGTGAGCGAGACGAGATCATACTGGGTGTGAACGAGGACCAGAAACAGCTGAGCAAGAACGGCACGTTTGCAAGCATCGCGGAGGCGAAACGTGAGAAGGGAGATGAATGGAGCGGTTATCGGTACAGGATCTGAATAGACCACGCCGTTGGGTATAGAGCAACTCGCGATGTTGCGATAATTTCTTTGGGCGCATTTGGCTGTATATGTTACTAGACAAGAATGCGATGAATTGGAACAGATGCATCTTATCGCCGTTCTACGTACCTCCTTTGGGTGATTAATCACAAATGTTCGGATTGAGGGAAGAGAGGATGTGTCACAAAAACCGTTCTAACTCCCATCACCGGTGTCAACCATATTGTGGGAAGATTGTGGAAGTCATGCACGTGATCAGCCACAATACCGTCAAATATACCAGCCACAGCGCGATTAGCAAAAGGATCTTCCATCTGCCAGCACTCCCGCCGACGCGTCCTGCGCACATTCCTATCCTCCAATACCCAAAAGCTGTCGAACAGCACCATATACCTCTGTAGCATATTCTAAAACATCATGGGACGCCCTCTTTTCTCTCAGTGCTACCAGACCCCTGCTGTCCGCGTTGAGCCCGAGCAGCATCAGCCCACCTTTGAGCGATGGACGTATCTGAACGCATTCGACCCTGACTCGGACGAGTTCTTCGGCGACGACGCCGTCTACGAGGCATTCGTGGACCCTGCGCAGCCCGGTACCGGAGGCGATGGAGAGGAGCGCGAACAGCCCCCAGCGTTGGAGACGTACAGCAGCAGCTCAAGCGAGGCAAGCTCGAGTGGTCGAGGGAGTCCGACCAGCGATATCTCCCCCGAGGAGATCAATCAAACAGTTCTGGAGAGAGTTACAATTCAAAGGGATCGAACGACCGTGGCACACCGCTCGATGCCGCCGTACCTCGTGGTGCCGCCCCGGCACAGCATTCGCGATGCTCCCCTCGCCTACAGAGAGGTCGCCGCGCGTGCCTCGCCTTACCGTCCCGGAGAAATGGCCTCACAACACACGAATACGTATCAGTCGACCACGGCGCGTCACAGACAGTTCGGGGAGCGCGCGCCGCCATCTCCGTCCACTAGCAGCTCTTCTGCCCCCATCCCAATTCCAGATTCGCCTAGACGTGGTATGGCCGCCCCGTCGCATTCCCCGGCCGATCCCCCTTCTACGCCGCCCAGCCGTTCACCCTTTTCCATGGAATCGCCCTCACCAGCGCCTTCTGTGACGCCGAGGCTGTACTCGTGGCCTCCCCGTAACGCGGTGTCCTCGTACCCCGTGTCACCGGCGCCGTCTGGGCCCCTTCCGAACCGTAATGCCCGCATGTCCGTTGCACACATACCTTCGTCCCCGGCCCTGGTCCCCGTCAGCCGCGTCGTCGGTTGACCGCGTTTCCCCGGTGCACGGCCCACGCCGTCCCTGCTCTATTATATGTTTTGGCTCTAGAGGCTGTCCGTCCACTATCACACACTACTACTGTCATCGTACATACATGCCGCATTCTCACCTTTTGGGGTTTGTGCTGCGCTAGATCGGATAGCCGTTCATGTTAATGTCTTGCTTTCGGTGCGTAGCTTGCGAGCTGCAGCACCATAGTGTTATGTCGTGCGTAGATAGCAGATAGCACTATCGTATTTGTACCATCATGCATCGTCATCACCTCTCAAAAATACACGCTGACTTGTAGCAGCTGTCCATACGGTAGATAGATCTGATTGCAATGGTCAGGATATCACTTTGATCCCGTACCTTGGCGTATGTAAAGGTTGCGATCGCAAATCTCAGTCATCTATCTCGCGTTGAGGCAATACAAAAGAGACTATGTTCTCTCATATGAAGATTGACGGAATTGCCATCACTGGGCCCTGCATTGCGACTTCGATAGGGAGGATCGTGCCGATCCCTGATCGTCAATCGGCGATGATGTTCACATCGTGAAGCGATGCATGATATGAATACATAGCATACTAGAAGACTGCTAGGCGTGTTGCAGATCAAGGGCCTCATTCAGTGCCTAAATACTGATGCGGATTTGGATCTTGTTCACTTCAGATACTTTGGCCGCCTTCATAATTGAGCAGCATATTGATGTGTACAGAAAGTCTGGAGCCGCATCAGTAACATGAATCGCATCCAGGTTGAGCGAACAATGCGGTTGTCCGACAAGTATCGGCCAGTCTTTGGAACAGTCAATCTTTCGGCGCGAATTCGATTACTCGAATCGCATGAAGGGGCTGTCCGCCGGATGCTACAGGATCAGCCGCATCGCGCATCCCACTGTCCAATGCTCTCTGCCAACATCCAATCATACGACTTCTGCTCAGACTCTTCCCGCACGTTCGAGACAATCAAGCTCCAGGTGTCCTCCGCCTCTGGCCTTGGGGCGCGGAGAGTCGACGCGTCTGAGGGAGAGGATGGTAGGTATGCCACGGGTGTGGTCGGCACTCCATGCGCCGTGAGAGAGACGAATGATTCTCCCTGGACGAATGACCTGCCATGTAGGGAGTGCCAGAATTTTGTGGATGAGACATGAGAGAGCGAGGCGTACGTTGCGGCGGAGAGTATTCTTGAAACGAAGGCAGGGGATAGGAGTCCAGTCCACCGTATGTGTGAGACAGACCCCACGCGAGAAGAGGTTGGCGGTATATACACTGCTAGATAAGGATCGACTTTGTCATTGATTCGCAATCTAGAAAGCGTAGCGACGTCGATAGATGGGTTGTCATGAGATATATAATATTGATGGTTGAGAATGACCAACCTCTGAGCGCCGAGACACGCCATGCCAACCCATTCGAAGAGGGTGGAGACCTCTTCTTGCCAGTCTTCGCGTTCCTCCGTGTCAGTAGGACAAGGGGTCAACTTAAGAGCTGGTACGTATATGTTTGACAGATTTGTAGTTTTTGGAGCCATTGCATGCTCCGTCGAGCGGTCAAAAATAGATGCAGTTTCTTCTGTAACGGAATAAAGTCAGTTAAAGTGATCAAAAAGCAACCATCGTACCCACCGTTCAAATAGTATACTACTCTCCACGGTCCTCTTTGCGCATCCCATGTGCGCAATGCTTGCATCTGCTTGGGACCCAGATAATGTCGCTTGTATTTGGCAGTCTGAATTGATGGTGTCTCTAGCTCGAAAAGTGATAGGGAGATGACTGCGGAGATCCATGAGACACTGTCAATTGCAATGACCATTTATCGCAAGTACACTTACTGTATATGTCATTACATCCCTTCCAGGGTAGCTTCTGGCCGATTATTCCGAGCTTTTGGTATGTAGCCTTGCTTACACCCAACGTGAGCATTCCGCGCCCATCCAGGCTCCAAACATCGTCTGTATTAGAGCCCGCTATACCGAGCGCTCCAAAGTCGCTGACATGGATTATTAAAATATATTAACGCATGAGCGGAAAATGATACGTGAGCTTTCTTATCTACCTGTTTTGAGAGTACTTTTCAATCGACGAGCGCGCGAATTCGACAAATTTGGCCAGCGTGCAGGTACATGACCAGTATTTTGACGAGACCTCTATCGGCCTTACATCGAAGGCCGCATCAGAAGGAGTAGCAATCACAAGATCTAACTATAGCAAGAGTCAGTAAGCGTGTAACTCGGGGATTTCGAGAGGCAACTCTCTTGTTGTATGAAAGGATGGGATGATGCCAAAGATTCTGATCTGCAAGGTTTCCCTGGAGCCTTGTTGCCTGATATGATGGACGTACGCCGAGGCTCTGGCTCTGAGATCTTCATGATGTTGCAACAAGCCCTTGTATATTGTGGCACGATGAAGGAAAGTAGTGAATCGCCGATGCGGCAAATGCCGCTTGCTCGCAATTGGTTACCTTTTTCAGGAACCTGCCCATCTCTAACCAAGTCCTCGTGATTCTTGAAATATAAGACGTATAGCTGTTATGTCCGCTACCATTACGAACGCCTTCGTTCAACGTTCAACAACGTTCAATTTTCTGCCATCATGTGTTAAGCCTTGAACCTATGCATTATCCGACGACCTCTTGCTATCAACTCAAGGAACACCATCGTCTATTATATCAAAACTGTCGCACATTCTCTGTGCGGAGCAAGATATGCTAATCAGCACATATATTTCACAGGCGTCAAAGACCAGACGGATGCCAAAAAGCTCTTCAGGTGTGTCACATGCAGATCATTTCTGTACTGTATAAAGCTCGACAGTGTTAAAGCAAGGAATGCGAAGCGGCCCACCAGTGGCAATTGCACAAGCCGACAACACAAGTCTGCGATGCAGTTCGATTATGGACGCTCTGCATCTGGCTAGCTCTATTAATAGTCCGGACAACAGAAGCAGACTCGATGGTCAACCCGCTATCTTCCATGCTTGCGAAATAAGAATAACTTGGGGCATATAGCTGCTGTGCAGATGTATTCCGTGCTCTGCTTGCTGATCGACCGGTCAGACAGCTAGCGCGTTCCGTACTTCGATCACAAATTGCTAGCAGGCCACCTTCATGTCGATTTCGATCTATCACCTACTGTGAGCTAGTAGCCGAAAATGATGTTTTTGCCTCCCAGAGCGATTGAATGCGCTCATCCGCTGCCTCCAAACCGCATCTGCCGGTTTTTCATAATGGCCCGCTTCGTTTTGGGACCAACTATGCAGAGTATTATTCGTTGTGTATGTCTGAAGGTGCGTAGCTAGAAGCATCGGCGTATATGCAGCCACTGAGTCCTAATGTCTATTGAAATGCGTGGTTTAGTCAATGGAGATCGTAGATGGCGTCGGTAGTATCTAAACAACCACGATCGCTGGGAACTCGCCTGGCTCCGCCACAGCCGCGCTAAATATCATAGACGGTTGGGTGAGAACAATGCAAATGCAGTAGAGAGGATGTGGAGTCATACGCTGCTATCCTTGCTTTCAGATGAGCGGACAAGCCCATAACTGGTGCACTTCCTCTCAGCAACATCGATCCACCGCTGCACCGTAAGGTCATCAGGCATTGCGCCACGGTCCACACCATGGTGAGTAGCGTTGAAACGCTGGATCAGTGATATAGTGGTATACAGTTGTGGCTGTTACGCGCACTGTGCTATTATATATATGCAATAATTAGGGTACGGACGGATAGTTGTTAGTGCCGTCAAGATGTGGAACTTGAGGTTGCTCGTGCCAGCCTCTCTGCGCGTGCCTTCTCCACCCACGCCGGCGCGTCTCTGACCGCGTCGTGCGGACGAGACTTATAAGTCATCAGGTAGCCCTGTAGGCTCGCCATGGAGAGCTCGCGCTCGGGGATGGCATCGGCAAAGCGAATCGCCAACGTGTGAGCCGTGTCTGGCGAGAGGAACGTGCCCCTAGGGCGAGACAGCATGACACAGCTATCATCCGACTTCGCACCGTCGGATGATCCCTGACTAATTGGGGACTTTTCCAGCAGAGGGGATGACTCGGATGCTGTGTCGTCTTCTACAGCGGTAGCGGTTGGAAAGCATGCCGTGGTGTCGTCATCTGTACGCCGAGCGTGGGAGGGCAGGTAGAAGCAGTTGAAGAGCGCCTCTGCCTGATCCTTGCTGGCGAGCTTGAACTCGATGTGTAGATCCATACGCCCAGGCCGGCAGAGAGCAGGGTCGAGCGCGGAGTAGTCGTTGGTGGTGGCGAAAAGGATGCGGCCCTCCTGCGCACCGATGCCATCTAGGGCGTTGAGCAGGCCGCTGAGGGTAATACGGCTCGTGGCGTCTTCCTCGGAGGACTTTTTGTTTTGTTTATCGTCATGCGCTTGCTGCTCTCCAGGACCTGGAGGAAGGTCACGCGATATACCGCGCTTAGTAGCAACATCGATGTCCTCCATGAGGGCGATGCACTTTTGAGGCAAGTCGGAGATGAGCTCGTTGAGGCCGTTGTCATCGAGGTTCGAGCGTGATAGTGTGATGATGTAGATGTCCAGGCCCAGCTCGCCGGCGATGCTTTGAATCATGGAAGTCTTGCCGGATCCAGGCGCGCCATGCTACGAAATAGGTCAGACATCGATAAAGTTGTACGAAGTGGCGCACGTACCAAGAGATAACCACGACGGAAGGGGATGCCTATGTGTTTCGATGACACGATGAGTATCGCAATGTTGTGCATTCGAAGTGGGTTTCTTACCTCGTTCCGAGTACCACTCTCGACTTTCGAGAAATTCTTGTGCGTCGTTCAGGAGCAGTTCCTTGACTCCAGGTTCAAGAATGATCGAAGTGAGGGGGCGCTTTGGACGCGTGGTCATGAGACGCCAGTTATTTGAGCTACGCCAGAAAATTTACAAGTTATCAGTTTCGCAGCAGACGAGCAAGGCACGAATGACTCACACATCGGAAACGTGAACAGAGATAAATTTCTCTTTTGCTTTCTTGTACACGCTCTTGGCTTCGAGTAGCAATTGCATGAGGACTGCTTGATCTCGTGATAAAATGCTAGAGGCCAGATCAGCTACAGAAGAAACCACATTCCGGGCATGGATAACATACTCAATAGTGAGAGACTCTTTTGTCCGGAATGAACTCGATATTTGTACTATCGAACGGCATACGACCATATAGTGACCGTGATACCACATGGAATATGTGGCATTGGTGCTTGGTATGAAGCTCATCCGATCCTCATCATCATCAGAGTCATCTGAGAGAAGACCAAATGACCAGGATGTGACTTCCACGCGACGGGATTTGCCTGCAGGAGCGATTGTCAGTAAATCATATATACAGCAAAATAATGGGTGTCTCTCACTCCAGGATGGATGGCGAGATAGCCAGAACATTATCCATTCTGCATGTTGAGCCTGTTACAACAGATTCATGGTCGACAGCGCTGCGACCTACCGTAGCAATCATCGTCTTCGTCAAATGTGACACTAAGCCAGAAGAAGTCTCTTAGGGTTTGTATGAAGCTGGAATAGAAACGACGGCAAATCTCGAAAACGCCCCCCATGATGCCGAGCTTGAGCCATTCGCGGAGAGCAGATATGGAAAGGAGGGAGGATATCAAGGAGAGAATGTCCAAGGGAGAGGTCGCGTCCAAAGGTGCGGAAAGTGCATTGGAGGTAGCATTTTGAGACATATTGTTATCGCCGCTAGACAACTCGTCCAAGAGACTTGAGCCGTTGTGCGGCACAAAGTGGCGGAGAACTATCTAGCGTTCCAAGGGACGGCGAACGACAGGCTTGCTCTGCTTAACAGCTTCAAGCCGTCTTATATACACTCAGCGCGGGACATCAGTGTGAAAGGGTCGCCGGTGGGTCGGAGTGCAGCAAGGGCATCGTACCGCCTTCTGAACCACCGCTCCGAATCCGCAGCCTCCAGAGTCATCGCTAGTCATGGGACAAGAAGTTAATCGCACGAAGATCTGAACGGTCATTGCGACACGCCCGCATTCAACCTTCGCGTTAACTTTCGTAAGATTTCTTTGTCCGCTATTAACGCCGTTGAGGTTGTTTCTGGAATCCATCATACCTATCAGGAAACTGCATGAACACGTTCCAGAGGTGCAGAACTGGAATGTATCGTGCCCCAGAAACTAGTGAGTCCCTGCTCCTTATCCGAGTCATTTGATGCGAAAGCGGTGGAGAAGCTGTCGGATGAGTCGTTGCACTGTACTGCCTCTGCCCGTGTTTCAAACGCATGCGTGCCGCGCGGCCGCGGTACCGACTTGGTACCCGACGCGTAATAGGAAGTAGTCTGGCACGTGGCCGTGTTGGCGCTGGTAGGCGCCAGAGCGTCAACAACGATGTTCTTGCAATTGCAGTATTCACTGTTCATCGCCCTGCAAATTTTATCCTGACGAGCGCTCTATTCTCTCTGTCGGTCATCTCGTAACTCTCGTCGTTCCCGCACATCTGGAACGGAAAGGAAACTAGCGGAGCCTGCTTATCTGTTGAACGATCTGTGCACTCTGTGCAGCATCACGCGCACGCGTAGTAATTCCTACACCCCACAAATAGCTACCCGTAGAGGTTGGATATCACTGAAACTCCCTCGGGGATAAGCTGTCAAGAAGAGATTGAGATGTCAGAAGCGGCAGTTGCGCCCCGTGCGGCACTGGACCTGACGTATGTTCTATGTGCGTACCACTCATTTTACATACCCTAATATGCGGACCCACGAACTCTAGCATCCCTGAATAGATGACGAGTCATCATTGGTATCTCATGTGCTAGCCTTGCTGACATTGAGTCCCATCCTGCTGAATGTACGTCGTGCTCTGCCGCCCGATAGTCATCCCGTCCGCCTGACTGTCGTGCACCTAGCCTGCCTATGCAGTTCTTGCGGTTCAGACACGCGAGCTTTTGTTTATTGAAATGTGGGCTGGTCAGATGTTCTGCGAAGGCTTGAACTGGGCTCTGAAACATATCATTCGGGAGGAACGTCCGAACCGTGAGTAGTCATCCTGTCGAGCGAGGCTATTACAGCGATCCGGGTGTCCCTTCCAAGGCTTCCTCATATTCCAGAGAGCGATTGGTGCGAACATTAGAGCGCCTTCACGATAGTTGGGTCAGCTCTAGAATATTGTCCACCATTTGCGGCGGGCCGTAGTCGTTGATTTCCTAGCTTCTTGGATTGTAGGACATACCATGTGTCTCACAGCCTCATGGTGGCCAAACTGTACTCTAAATCGCATCTGTGTCCTTGTATTGGTACTGAGAGATGTGCCTGACGAACGGTTCTGTGGTCATCGATTGTATAACAAAGGCTGATCATGTCCACTGCTTCAGATAACCTAGGTCCCGGCTTCGGCTTCCCATCCTCCCATAGTCAGTGGATGGGCTATTTCGCCGCGTTTGTGCTGTGTCACTTTACTTTCCGCCATCGGTTCGTTCCAATGGGGTCTCGACTGCTTGACATCGCCCGAAAGTCAATTCTTCATGTCGGCGTGGTGGCATGGGCCGCATTGGTTGCATATTCTCGGTGCGTCTCATCCCCTACCTGATTAGCTTATGCAGCTCAATCACCGTCAACCGTCCTGTGGAATCCCTCAATGTGGCCATCAGATACTATCTATCATACCACACACCACATCAAGTGATCTGGGGCTCCCTCATTGGTGCCTTGTTTGGCGTTATATACTACGCACTCGTGGAGTACATCCCAACTCGGAAGCCTAGCTCCATAATGGGGAAGGCGCGAATCGCGCTACTGAGCAACCCAGTATGCACATGGCTTAGGATCCGGGACGGATGGTCGGTCTGGTCTGACGGTGGAATGGAAGTCCAATGGCACCGATGGAGGGAAGAGTGGGACGGGCACAGGTCAGAGGACAACCATGCACGCTCAGGGATAAAACAGGAATGAGCAGTGCACTCGTCGATTAAATGGTTCTATCGTTCGGGCCGTTGTGTCTCGTTGAATGTCATACTTTTTACGCTCACGATTCCTGGTCTGCATAGCAGGGTTCCTGTATCATCGGACAAATCTCAGAGGGCAACATTCAGGTGAGCGAGCGAAGCGTCTCACACGCCATCCTTCCTCCCTTCTGAGCCTAATGTTCTATGTAGTGGTAGGGCGAATGGGTCTCGAAATGAGCTCGTCGCTTGACCAAGACTGAATGGAATGTGGCCACTAAGTTGCAGCATCACGCCACTGTCCCGGTGTGGCGCGTGGCCCTAACGTGGTCCTAGATTCTTTAAACTCTTCGCTTTAGACTCATAACATATTCTAGTACAAATGTATTTGGATATTTTGCCACCATCATCAGCACAGCAGGAGGGAGATATGCCTTGTAATGTGTCCAACGAGTCAGTGGAAACGGATCGTTGCCCAAAATTAACTTTTTCATTGATTCCAACGTTCCTTTCACTGAATGAACTTCATGCGAGGTTTAGAATCATGGAGTACTTTTGAAAAAGCCTCCTGCATCTTATTCTTTGTCCAGAGAGGCCAGTCATGCCAGGGCAGTAATCCCAGTGTTAAGAAGAGTATACTGAGGGCATGCTGTTACACTTGTCACATGATGTCAGAGCTGCACTGGGCCACATTGCTTTGTGGAGAGCTTGAGAGAGCTGCCCAAAAACCAAACTGTCATGAGTAACTGGGGAAGAGATATACCGCACAGAAGACTAAAGTGATAAGTTGAACGAGACAGCTTCGCACTCATACATCAAGGTCGTGACTGGGCGTGACAGCTGCTCAAAGGCGAGCTTTTGGACCCCTCAAGTTACTCGATTTTTCTTCAGTGCATTTCTGCACCAGCCATTCTGAAAATTTCATATATGGATTTTAGATAGTAGATCGTTGTTTTACGTGCTCTAATGCAAAGTACGGGTGAGAGTCATGACTCGACCTGAGCTTCAAAGGACTGGTTGCTTGAATGTCACACTTTCGCGCTATGCCACCTTCGCACTATGCCGAGCCCCGGCTCGAATGAATCGGAGCAGTACGTCCGGTGCAATTTCTTCACTACAACTCACTACTACCATGTCCCCTGTCCCAAGCTTCTACTTCGAGTAATCATTTCGGCCGATCTCTCCTGGTAATTGAGCTCTGTACACGAGTTAGCCTGCCATCCATCGCATAACTACCTCCCCAAACCCTCGAAAATCGTCCGTATACTGCAGACGAAACATGTCTTTATCCTCGAACGCATTACCTGCCTCGCCTTTCCCGATATTCACAACGGTAGCATCATACCGCGAGTGGCGGGAAAAGGCCTATGATGAGAAGAAATCCGTCGGCTTTGTAGCGACGATGGGTGCTCTGCACGAAGGCCATCTCTCACTAGGTAAGCACGGTTCGCCAATCTCGCGTCGCTGCCACTGAGTCTCTAACGTTCAGTGAGAAGGTCTCTCGCTGCGAATGACCTAACGGTGCTGTCCATATTCGTGAACCCTGCGCAATTCGCTCCCAATGAAGACCTTGCAACGTATCCGCGCTCGCTGCCTGACGACGTGGAGCTACTCTCGTCATTGTCCCTCTCCGTGGATCTTCCTGACGAGAAGGGAATATCTGAAAGTGTGACACGGACACCGTCCGCACTTTTCCTTCCGACGGTATCGGAGATGTACCCGAGTGGTATTTCACAGGATGTCTCGGAACAAAAGGGTACATTTGTAGAGGTGAAGGGTTACGGGCATCAGATGGAGGGTAAGACAAGGCCAACGTTCTTCCGCGGTGTTGCGACTGCGGTTACCAAGCTTTTCAACGTCATCGAGGTATGAACCACCGTCGGTCCCCTAATTTGGGGTTCATATTGATGCCAGAATAGCCCACTCGCACGTACTTTGGTCAGAAAGACATCCAGCAAGCACTATTACTACGACGTATGACGCGTGACCTACTCCTGTCGCATCCCTCCCCGGAGAACCTGTACATCGTGCCCACTGCTCGGTAGGTTCTCAAGCAGTATACTCTATTCTCACACACTCACCTGTTTTTCAGTGACACGATATCCTCTCTCGCGCTGGCCTCCCGCAACGCATACCTCACTCCGAGAGAGCGTGACTACGCCGCCCCTGCGCTATACGATGCACTGCAGGTCGGCGAACGCGCATGGGAGTCGGGAGAGACCAAGGCGGAGTGCGTGTCTCACGCACACAGAGTGATTTCTGAGACCATGGCAAGACTGAATGGGATAGGAAAGGAGAGAATTGAAATGCAGTTAGATTATATCGAATTCAACGACCCCGAGGGTTTCGACGTGCTCCCCGATGCGGTCACATTGGAGCAGTGGGAAAGCGAGGAAGGTCGTGGCGGACAGGAGAGACCGATCATTCTCAGCGGAGCGTTGTGGGTTGGACGGACTAGGTTGATTGATAATATCATCCTGGGTGATCCGTTGAGAATAGGCATGATGATTTAGTATTCACTTGGTATCATTGTATTCTGGAGCATACAATTCGTTTGCAGCGGGCTGTGATAAACAGATTTAGTTGTACATCATCGCGATGGTAAGAAACTGCTCCTGGCATTGCAGGTAGCAGCAGCAGTATAGTGAACTTCATCAACAATGTTAGTGCACCTGTCGTGCCTGCGCTGACGACTTCATTCCATATCGGACTCATCGTCGGATAAGCCATCATCTGACCCGGCAGGCTTGCTGGGAACGAAAGGGACCTAAATACGAAAATCTATGAGTTGGAATTATCGGATGATACGTCAAGAGGGCAATGATCGCACCGATTCTATGACACCTTCCAGTTCATGCCCGAGCCGTTCAAGCAGGTACTTGATTGACTCCAGCCCATTCAGGAGACAGCGTGCACAGCTCTCCTGACGGTAATCGACCATCTTGTCCTGAATGTGCTTTGTTAAATAAGTGCTCATCTCGACTGCCTCTCTGCAGGGACGCATGACCAACAGCCCCACCAATTCCTTTTGGAAGCTTTCGCAAACGATAGTAATATATTTGCCGTAATCTCTTGGTAGTTCATAATTTGCGCGGCTCTGTGCCGCACAAGACCGGCAGGAGAACTCGATGCAATATTCGCCATCGATGTTTGCGATGCATTCCGATTCAGCGAGAACTTCCCAGTCATCCGGACGCCAGACAAACTCAACCGCAGCGGCGATGCATCGGGACCGATAATTCATCAGTTCGTAAAGTGCATCGGAAGAGATTGTTGTTTCGAAAGAGGATTCTTTTTTCAGTGTGCTCCGTGAAGCTATAATCTTCGCTCTTTCCAGGTCCAGACGATGCGCAGCGCCGTATATCGTGATCGCGTGCTCATTCATGAACGGACCATCGATGAGTGTGTTACTCAGGAAGATGACGATGTCGTCCATTTTATACTTCACAGCAGCTTCCAGGACGGCTATTGCGTGTTTGACATCCTCGAAGGAGATATTAGGCATGGGGTAGCAGATACGGAGCAAGAAGTCGAGCACGATGTTTTCCTCGCTGACTGGGACTATAGGGAGGTCGTGATCGCCACCAGACGCAGGTGGCTGCGGAAGCGAGAACATGCTGTCGAATACTGGCGATGCAACAGAAAGAATCATTTTATGAACGCGGAAGTCGACACCATCCGATGAGCGCAGAACAACATCCGCATCGGGTCTGGTGAAGGGATGTAGGTATGGGTTTTTTTTCGTGGGCCCGTCTGCCTCCGACATCGATGTGAACAGGTGTACCCACGCCTGTTACAAGTTTGAAAACGAACTGCATCAGTGTCCATGATTACAAGCTTTTATGAACGTTCAACCGTTCACTACTCACGGAGTCCTCCTTGGATGTTGACGTTGAAGCTAAGCCTCAGGTTCAAGTGGAAACGAAGTACAAAAACGTGCGAAAGCAGGATCAACATCAGTCATGTGTCGCGTCCGACGCGTGGGGAGGAAGCGCTAGCTCCACTTTTGTTCTTTTGCAGCCAGCTCGCTGGTGCCAATAGCATGATGATACGACAATCGTCATCTAACGTCCATCGCGAACGCAACTTGGACATTGACGTAAAAGTACTTAGGCCATCAGGTTTGTAGATGTTCCAAAAGTGAGATGAGGAAGGCCGTGTACCAATATTATGAATATCTGAACTCATGTTAAGCTAGTAACTTCAGCATGGGGAACGCGAGAGAGTCAATGGCACGACCCGGCAGCGGGGCCAGAGTCTGAAGTGCGCGCCATCCATGCGCGCAGCGTTTAACGATGCACTATTGCTATTACTCTTTTGGTTCTTCCCAGAAGATGGGTTGCATGAAGGTGGTTCGCAAAGATCAGGATGCTGTGGCAGGATTTGTGGAGTGGGCGGACGGTTGGGTCTCGAGTACGGTGTATGCTCCGTGATGATATGGAGTCCAATACCATACCACTGCGTGCTAGGACTCTATGAGGCTAGATACAAAGTGACTTGAAGTCGTACATGAAGATTAGACAGCAGGCTCGCCAAGCTCCTGTTGGGCCTGGCCTTGCCAGCGGTCATGACCAATGTTGCTTGTGGCCGATCTGGTCAGTATCTTATAAATGAGAATAAAACTTGGGCATGCCGGCGCTGCATGCGCACTGCCCGGTTCCGACTGACTCACCGGTGGGGATGTGCGTTCCGCGCGATAAACACGGGAGAAAGGATGAGTTATAATTTCGCACGAAAGATATACAGTCATGGATTGTGAAGTAGCGAAGCGAGTACATTGTCTTGTACATGATAATTCGGAAAGGTACAAATGTTCAGATCAGATAGAACAGTAGGGTCGAGTAACGAAGCGAGTACATTGCATTTCACATGATAATTTGAAAAGGGGGGATGAAGAACAGCCAGTATTTCATTCAGATGAGGACGTCGTCCGCCACTCCGAGCTCTTCGTTGATTGTCGGTTCCGGTCGTTCGATAAGTTTGGTGACAGTGAGCATCTGGTCAGTATCTTATAAATGAAAATCGAACACTCACCGGCCATTTCCTGCCGACGGTCGCCGGCGATGGCACCAACAACGGTGCCCTTGCTTGAGAGACGATCGACAGTCCCCTGTGCGTATCTATCAGCTGGTGGAGAATTACTGTCCTACTATTGGGCGTATATACTCAATGAATAAGTGATTCCACTGAGGTGAGCACGACGTAACAAAAATTTAGACACAAACAAACATTACGTACAATTCCTCTGAATCGAATAGGCGTGATGTAACAGTGCCACTTGAGATGGATTATAGCTCCTCAGGGATGTCATGAGGCGCCACGGTGACGACCCCATGCCTGAGAAGGAAGCGCAGTGGTCAAGATTGGTGTCGCCTTCAGATCCGATCTCACATTGCGCCATGACGCGTGACGTCATACATAACATCGCGCGCCGTAAAGTGGCGCGTCATAACGTCGTGTGTCGTCGTCCGTCCTTTGATCGAAAGCGCGTGCCGCGATATATAAAGCGCAGACGCAGCGTCAAAACAGCAACTCGCATCTTTCATTCCTCCCACATCCTTCTGCAGAACAGCATCCGAGCACGTCATCATGTCCAGCGACAACAGTGCAGAGTAAGCGGAGTCTGCTCTTCGTATCGTCCCACGCTCACGGCCATGCGCATGTAGTAAGACCACAGGTCAATACCACTCCATGAAGGGCACAGCCGTGGAGGCCATTGGCAACCTCACTGGCGCGCAGTCGTGGCAGGATTCTGGAAAGCAGGAGCACGCGCAGGGCGAAGCCCAATACAAGGCCGGCCAAGCCCAGGGATATGCCGAGGGCACGATGGATAGACTTGGTGGCAAGAAGGACGCGGTGGTGGGCGCTGTGACTGGCGACCGAACCCAAGAGGCTTCCGGCAAGTTTCAACTTCGTGTCATCTGTAACATAACGCATTCTAACGAAGCATGATCACAGGAAATGTTAGGAAAGACAAGGGTCAGGCGCAGCAGAGCATTAACTCGTGAAAACCTCGTACCCGATCTGATGGCTGGATGTGTTTTGTACTCGTATTGAGATTTGGGCAACTGTAAATTATACTTTTGATTGCGGTTCGATGTGGAGGATCTTCTTTCACTGCCCACCGTCAATAATTGCATAATCACTATTGTGTATAACCATCACGCGAGCGTCAGTATTCTTCACAGAATATGAGCGCTTGAGCAATTATTCTTTGCAGAGCGCCCCGGCATTTATCTGACCCAACAAGTGCAATTCTTAAATCACGTCAGAGACGCACGGACGCAAGGAACAGATCGGATGACACGCACTTATAGGAGTAACGTTGGGTACGTTGTGCTGTCCGAATGAGCTATTTTATACATATTACATTTCATGCTACTCCTCAGAGCCTTCCCGCTTCGCCCAACACGTTCCACCCATTCTCGCCCTCGCTGGTGAACACCTCGGAGAACGCGCCGCCAATCTCGCCGAGCATGTCCTCCGTCACCACACCTATCCGTCACAGACACGTTCAAGGCAGCAGAAACGCGCATATAGTCAGCTCGGTGAGCCACGCAGTGGAAGCTGGGCATCACGCACCTCGCCCGTACTTGGCGAACGCGCGCCTCGAAGCAGTCCGCGTGACCATCGACCCGCCGACCGCGGCAAGCAGCGGTATGCGTGAGCTCGGGAGCGATTTATCGCTGCGCGGAGAGATAGCCAGGTGAGTCAGATTGGATGCGCGGAAAGGAGGAAGGATAGCAGGGTATGGAGAGAATATCAGCGCCAAGGACTCACCCGAACGCTCCACTTTCATAGCACTTTCCCCACGCGAGGAATGTGCCGACCGTTCCGCCGAGGATGTCGCCTTGCCCGCCACACCGCTTGTACCCGCCGGGTGTATCGACGCTAATCTGCTCCTCCGTCAACTCGAAGCCGCCCAACTGCATTCATCGCTCCATCAGCTCACCAGAAGCGGGAGATAGAAGTAGGCGGAGCGACACACACCGTGCTAGCTGTGTCGGTCGCGATGGTGTCCTCCTTGCCTTTTTCGAGGATGGTGACGCCGCCGAGGGCGCGGGAGATGCGCATGGCGCGCTCGCTGGCTGGCGTGGAGGGGTCCAGGTTGACGTCCTCGGAGAGACGCTTGAACTCGACGACGTTGGGGGTGAGGACGGCTTTGTGGTAGCCGCGGACGAGGGAGAGGTCGTGGCCGATCATCCAGAGGGCGTCTGCGTCGAGGACGATGTACATGCCCTGGACAGTGCAAATTATGAACATGTGCCAGTTGATATGGGATTGTGAGCTGATGCGCGTACCTGCTCCTTTGCGATGTTGAGCGCGAGCTTGGCACAGTTCTGCATGTAGTCCTCACGGCCGAGACCTGGGCCGATGACGAGGACGTGCAGACGCTCAAGGAGGGAGGACAGCGCGGGACGGAGGTCGGCGGGGGACCTGGGTGCTCTGAATGAGTTGCGTGGCTGCGTGTGGACGAAGGATGCATGGGCGGAAGACGCGGGAAAGGACGGGGCACTTACTGGTCCTCGCGGAGGATGGGGTGGACGATGAGGTCGGGTGAGTAGGACTTGATGGCGGCGGCGGCGGTGGGGGAGCAGATGACGTGCGCGAGGTCGGCGCCCATGCGCATCGAGGACATGGACGCGAAGAAGGGCGCGCCGGTGTAGCTGTGCGTACATCAGCGGCTTTTCATGTGGGATTTGATTGATGGCGTACTCTAGTGCACCGCCAAGGACGCCAACGCGGCCTGATTGGCCCTTGTGAAGGGTGCCGTTGAGCGGGGGGATGAGCTGCTTGATCTGCGAGAGGAGCTGCTTTGGGACTGGCATTATGTAGTAGATCCGGCTAGTTAATAGAGAAGATGTGGCCGCGAGTGTCGCCTATGGTATGCAAGGGATGGCAGGGTAACCGGAGGCGAAAGAATGAGAACGGAGAGCGGCGATGGGAACGACTCGCGAGGCCGATGACGCACGATACACCCTGCTACCGGGTTAGGGTCATGCGACGCGACGCATCACATTCGTGACTCCTCGTGCATGAAACCTCTTCGATTCGTGCTACTCCTGCGGGTTCTTGTGTGAAATATGCAAGCATCGCTTAATCCTCACGCCAGTCACGTCAAAGGCCTTAACCCGCTTCGCTGCTAGAACAAGAACTACACGTTGGATTGGGTGAATGTGAATGAAGCCGCTCCTAGGCCTGTGATGTCTGGGATCTGCCTATCGCCTGGATCGAACGTGTACCTGGAGCTCTTGCTGTCCGACGGCCGTGAAGCCTAATAGAGGAAGCCACGAAGAGAAGACGAAGAATGATGATGCCTCCGCGAGCCGACTGAAAGTGGTGTCGAGTCTTCCTTCGCCTTGCTATTTGCGCAGATAGTAGACCCGGGGCCGGTGCTGGTCGAGCGCTCGCGATTGCTGTCAATACTCTGTCCTACATAGCGTTCTTTTACTCGAATCGAAGGCAGAGTCACAGTTGCTGGTCCCTAACGTCCCTATGGAGTGCTCGTATCACATCTTTCTGAGTGATGCTAGCGATATCTAATCGCCGCCTGCTGCAAACGAAGATCGATGCCCAGGGGCACTTCGAAGGCAATTGAAGCCGCATCATCCTCCCGTGCCACCTGCACCGCTTCAGCAAATCAATAGCAAGTCTCTATTGTCTCGTGAGAGACGATCATCACTCCTTCTGTACCGAAGTCAGCTCGTGTGCGTGTGTTGTTCATCCTCAATGTAGCGGTTTCGTGGACGAGGCCAATCCATGGGTACAGCCGGCATCAACACATGTAGGCGCTTCTGAGATTCGCATAGGTACTAATAAAGACACTCATCTTCGTGATACGACATTGATTCTCCTCCGATATCGCTCTCTGCCATGCTCTCGCGCTTCCCGCGAGAGATCACGAGCAAAATGGTACAGAGTACGTTTCACTCTCATCACCATGTCATTCAGTAGCATCTTACAGGACTTCCAGGTTCAAAAAAGCCTGGTTTGATCAGCCGTAAAGGAACCGCACCAACCTGGCAACAGCTTTCCATGGGTATCCATCCGTTCACGCGACCTACGGCAGACGTCGTATTGGCGTCCAGCGACAACGTCGCGTTCTGCGTACACAGGACGATTTTAAGCGAGGCGTCTCATGTTTTCGCGGACATGCTTAGCACAGCGAGCGCCGCAGACTCGACATCCGGCACTGTATCTTCTGATGAACATCGATTCGCACGACTTCCGATATACCCTGTCTCGGAAGACAGCAAAACGCTAGAGAATGTCCTGCGCCTATGTTATCCGGTGTCCGATCCGGAGCTGAGCGATACAACTGAATTACATAAAACGCTGGCGGCTGTGGCCAAGTACGAGATGGAAGAGGCTTTGGGCATCATCAAGGGGCGGCTCCGTGCGCTCATCCGTCTCAACCCTTTCGAGGCCTACGCCATCGCGTGCAGCTTTGCACTCGAGGAGATCGCTCGAAAGGCTGCCGTCCAACTCTCTGGAAAGGATGCGCGCGGCTTCGCCTGGATGACCGATGGTCATTCGTCACCGCGGTACGAAGGTTTCACTGCGGGGGCGTACGTTCGGCTTCTGTCTTTTGTTCGCAACCAAAGCGATGTGAGTGAATCGTTCTGCTTCACTCGCCGCGCAGACCAAGACGTCCCATTGAGCGCGATCATCGAGGAAGCGGAGGCTGTCCCTGCTGTCGCTCATCCTATGCCTCCGTTTGATTGGCCTGATGCGGATCTCGTCCTGCACACCGCCGACTCAGTGGAGTTCCGCGTACATCGCCTCATCCTGGAAATGGCATCTCCCGTCTTCCGAGACGTTCTTTCGAAACCACTTCCGAGTGTTGCAGCGACGGAACGCCTCGCGAGGCCGCATCCTCGCATGCCGCTTCTGCGGATGGAGGAGACGAGCAAGGTCGTCGTCGTCCTGCTGCAAGTATACTATCCCACTTGCGATCTAGAGGCAGATGATGTTGAACTAGTCCTGGCTGCGTTGGCAGCTGCCAAGAAGTATGACATGCAAAAAGCTGAGCATATTCTCGCCGCAGGGCTGCTTCAAATGACCGTGCCTCCCGTGCGCGTCTTTCTGGTAGCGTGCCGTTTGGGGCTGCAAACGCTGGCGGTCGAGGCATCTAAACGCCTTCTGCACCTGGGACTAGACGAATTAGAAACCTACCAACCAGAGATGGAACATGTTCCTGCAGAAACATATGAACGTCTACGGCGGTTCCATGCAACAAGCATGATGCTCCTCGATGCCTTTATCCGTTCATACACCTCCATACCGCTATCGTGGCAGGCAAAGTTCCGCCGACTTTGTCAGAAGAGTAATATTCTAGTTCCTGCCAGTGACAAGCCATATTACGACCGCGATGACAGAAGGTCCGAGATGAGCGTGACGTGCTGGTTCAACTCGTATATAGAGGAAGTACTTTGGAAGCTAAGAGAGCATCGGCCTTGCCTGTCGATCGCTGCCTGCCCGGCGGTGCTCGAGTCGGCTATGGCCGTTTCTGAGCGAAGAAGGTCGTGTGCCGCTTGCCAGTCGTCGCAGGGTCTTTTGTTGTTGATGGAGTTTAGTCAGTTCTTTGCGAAGGAGATTGAGAAACGAGGTAAGTACGTTTTGGCGTGGCATCCGTTATTCGTATTGATTGCGTGCAGTTCGCTGAATGTCATAATGGTGACCGTCATCCCCGTGAAGAGTTGGAGACAGCATGGATCTGAGAGCTCTCTTGTGGTATTTTGCGTGAGATGTATGCCAGTTGAGTGCCGTCATCATTTGACTTCCGACGATTATATGACCTGTATCATACGTACGTACGACTCACGAACTGTCACTGGTTGATTGTGATCTTGCATGTTCTTCCTGATGTCAAAAGGTTTCGTTGTCCAATTTCCATAAAATCTATCTTCGGGCTTGTCAATGGGTGATCCGAGGAGCAAACATATACATCACCGCATGCAGGGTCGCCTAGACAAGCGGCACATATATACGCAGGAACAGCTTTCCCCTCGTATCACACTACTTCGCTCGAAGACTGGAAGACTGGCGGACGAAGGGAAGTTCGGAGATCCCGTGAGCAGTGACTTCGCCTGAAACAGACTTGGTTCGTTCGAGCGCCGCACCAACATGCTTGGAGCATGGCGAGCGGTGTGGGCTCATTGACAATCTGTACACGGTCGTTTTTTCCTTCACACGCACCGACGTCAATCAGACGCATTGGCGTTTAGGAAGAATGTCTCGCGGTGTCGCAGAACAAAGATGGCGTATGAAACACCGTAGGATTGCTTAAACCTTCGTAGTCGACAGAGAATGCTGTTGGGTTGACCAATAGTCGGAAGAAAATGGTTGGTCGGACGATACAAGGCGTCGTGTTTGGACGAGACGAACGCCCGTTGATGGGGACGGACGCAGCCAATGAGCACGCGCCACTGTCTTGGCCGCTAACTGCGGTCGTACCACCTCCTCCCAAAAAACAATTTCTGGACACTCGTCTCATCCTCCTTTTTCTTATATAAACGCGACACTTCGTCGCTTCGTCCTTCCGCTCATCAACGATACCTGCCCTTTGCACTCGCCAGTCTTTCGCCTCCCCGCCGTCACCGTATACCGACCACCATGACTATTCCTCTCAATGGCACCACTCATATTCACGATGAGATCGAGGCCCCTGCTCGTCCAAGAGATGTTGGTATCCTCGCGATGGAGATGTATTTCCCTCGTCGGGTGAGCTACAATGGTTTCGTGGCCTCAGCTGGTCCACTCACGCGTAGCCTTTTAGTGCATCTCGGAGGAGGAATTGGAAGAGTTCGATGGCGTCTCGAAGGGAAAATATACCATTGGCCTTGGGCAAAAGTTCATGGCATGCTGCGATGACCGTGAAGACATCAATACCTTCGCACTGACCGGTACGTGTCAGCTCACCAATACCTGCAACTCGACAGCTCACGCAACAGAACTCCAGCTGTCAACAACCTGCTCGAGAAGTACGACGTGGACCCAAAGTCGATCGGTCGCATTGACGTCGGCACGGAAACCATCATCGACAAGTCAAAAGCAACCAAGACCGTGCTCATGGACCTTTTCGCCGAGGCCGGCAACTCGGACATCGAGGGTGTAGACTCGAAGAACGCGTGCTACGGTTCGACTGCCGCGCTGTTCAACGCCGTCAACTGGGTCGAGTCGTCATCGTGGGATGGCCGGAACGCGATTGTCGTCGGCGGCGACATTGCCATCTATGCTGAAGGTTCTGGTCGGCCGACGGGCGGTGCTGGTGCTTTCGCGATGCTGATCGGCCCCAATGCGCCTCTTGTGCTCGAACGTGAGTAGCAGTCTAAATATGCAAGGCTCGAGCGCTCTGTTCTCGCTCGCACCGTGCCGTGCGCTATCATAGCGGCGATTGCGGCGAACGCGCCGGTCTATCCTCGTATTTTCCCATGCATTCTCAAGTGTACTAATCATGCTCTTCTGCTGAATAGCCATCCATGGCACGCACATGGTCAACACGTATGACTTTTACAAGCCAAAGCTTGACTCGGAGTATCCCCAGGTCGACGGTCCGCTCTCCATCACCACCTACGTCTCCGCCATCGATGCCGCCTACTCTGCGTTCCGCCGGAAACACGCGCGTGCGAAGAAGACCGCGAGTCTGAACGGCAATGGCGATGCGGCGGCACTCGCTTCGTTCTCTCTGGAGGATGTCGACTACCCCGTCTTCCACAGTCCCTACGGCAAGATGGTGCAGAAAGCACACGCACGCCTTGTGAGTACCCTTGCCCTTCCGTAGCATGCATGCACCTCAACTTTCGTTCATTAGGTTTACAATGACTTCAAAACGAAGCCTTCCTCATCGAAGTACGCTAGCGTACCCAATCCCGAAGCCATCCTCGCACAGCCCTACAAAGAATCATTGACCGACAAGACGCTCGAAAAGACCTTCATGGCCGTCGCAAAGAAGGAGTTCGAGAGCACCGTCGAGCACTCGATGCGCTGCGCACGGCGATGCGGCAACATGTACACCGCGTCGCTGTATGGCGGTCTCGCATCGCTGCTCGCGAGCATCGAGCCCACAGACCTCCGGGGCAAGCGCATCAGTATGTTCGCGTTTGGCAGCGGCCTCGCGAGCAGCTTCTTCACAATCCGCGTTAAGGGCGACACGGCGCAGATTAGGGAGAAGATGGACCTCATCGACCGTCTCGCGAGCATGCAGGTCGTGCCCTGCCAGGAATACGTCGACGCCTTGGAGGTAAGCCGGATGGTTTTATCGCCGAGCTAATTGTAGCTTGACATTGCTTCGCTTTGCAGCTTCGGGAGAAGAACCACAACGCAGGCTCGTACACTCCTGAGGGCTCGCTCGACAACATCTGGCCGGGCGGGTTCTACCTCGAGAGTATCGACAGCAAGTACAGACGCAAGTATGGCCGCAAGGCCAAGGCATGAACAACTTCCGGCCCCTTCTCTTTTCCGCTATCAACTCGCATCGTGATATCCATCTCGCCAGCATGAAAGCATCGCATATCATATGTACTATCACACTGCTTTTTGTTTCGTTCCTCACTTATTTCTCGGTGCTTGTTGCTTTCGGTGTCGGATCGAAGTTCGTATGGCTGATCGTCGGGCTTCGCTTAGAGTTCGTGCATTCATAGATTCATACATGTAGTAGTAACATTTGCACGGTGTTTATCGAATACTAATGGAAGCTATGGGTATCTGAAACACAGGCGTGACTCGAGCTGCATATATCCTGCCTACAGCGATGCCGGCTCAAGCTGGACCTGAAATCACCATCAGCACTGGTCATGACCTGAACGAAACTAACGATGCCCACCTCACACAGCACCTTCTTTACCCTCACCGAGACGTACTCGTGCAATCCTGTTAGGAACTTAGCGATTGGCTCGCACTCCGTGCAGTAACATCCCTCCTGGTAGGAGCGCAAGAACACACCCTGGTCGTATTCCCGCTCATCCTCGTCCGTCTTGTGCTCCTTGCCCATCGCGTCCGTCACATTGTCATAGATCCAGTCCCGCGCGCATTTGTGGCACATTTTCCGTCTGAAGTGCATCGCAGCACCGCTTTGTCCGCACGAAGAACAGGTGGGCGGCGCGTCCTCCTGCTTTGGCACGTCCTCTTGCTTTGGCATGCTCTCCTGCTCCGGCGCGCTCCCTGACGCCGGTGGTGGTGGCGGCTGAAGGCCGTCCCCCTCGGCGGGCTTTGTCTCGTCCGCTTCTTCAGTTGTTTGCTTGTCCTCAGTTAGCGACGCTTTCTTCTCCTCGCTGATCTCAGGTTTTTCTTCAGACGAAGACGTGGCTTCGCCCTCTTTGTGCTCTTCCTTCACCGATGCCCCTTGCAAATCACCCTCATCAGGCTTGGGCAGATCCCAAAGTGCATCCAGGTTTAATTGCTCGTTCTCTCTCGTCACCGCCTCGCGGCACGCCCGACGGTACCTAAGCAATCTGCGCAACACGTCCGCGGGAGTCCTTTCCATCTCGTCTACGTAGACCTGCTCAGCATAGGCGAATCTGAGACTCCGCATCGCCGCCTCCTGCGCATATGGATGTAGCTCCGGACCCGAGCGCGCGACGATGAGGAAGGCGCGCACAGACTTGCGATATGCGAAGTCCTCCCATTCGTTCTTGAGGGCGTTGGACACGCGCGTCATCTGATACTTGGCGGCTGCTTGCATGAGAGAATCCAGCAGTGATAAATTCTCGCCGATCAGCTTGCCCTGGTCGATGGGATAGCAAAGCTTGACGAGAACCGACAATGTGCGGCTGTCCTCGGGCAGGTTCAAGGTAGAGATGCTGTTTTCCGAAACAGACGGCTTCGGTGGTGCAGCAGAATTGAGCATGTCACGTAGGACGGGAGATGCCAAGGATAGGATGATCTGGTGCGCTGGGAAGTCGACTCCGTCCGAGGAGCGACAGGTGACGTCTGTGTATGCGTGAGCGTAAAAGTCGACCTGAGGCACGTCCTCTTCCTCAGCAGTCTGTTCGACGTCGGATGGGGCCGGACTGCAGAAGCTGAACGAGCCGTCCACTTGTCCATTCAAGCGCTGGAAGTGCAACAGCCTGAAGTAGGCACCTGCAGATATCTCGTGCATCTCCGGTGGAAACTCGTCGAGTAAGGAGTGTGACATGGCTTGCTGAGCGGCGTGCAACGCCTCTGACTCCAGATGCAAGCGGCATGCGACGGCCCAGACGCGGAGCGGCTCACTCGCGGCGAACGACCGTAGCTTCTTGCAGAGGACGGCCGTCGCCTGCTCCATCTCGTACTTCGTAGCCGCCTCCAATATGCCTCGCACCGCTTCCAGGTCAGTCAGCAGGGGATCGGCAATCGGATAACATACGCGCAGGAGATTGTCGAGCGTCGTGCTGTCCTCCGTCATCGCAACAACTGGACGACCATCCCTTGTGTCCGCGCTGTCCTCCTGTGGGTTTTCAGGATTTGGAGGCTGGGGCAAGCTGAACATGTTCGCGAATAAGGGAGAGGCCTCCGCGAGGATCACGCTGTGCACGCGAAAGTCGACGCCATCGGAAGACCGGAGGATGATGTCTGCGGCTACATTGTCAAACGGTGGCGAAGCGTCGGTGGAGGCAGCACGAGATTGCATGAGGTGGTTGGGGAAGGAGCGACGGGTCTGAGCTGGAGGCTATCTGTGGTTGATGGTTGTGACCACACGCACCTGATCCACGCTGCTGAGAAGCGCTGTGCTGCCCGTTTCAGACAAGAAAGCCCTGTGTGGTACACTGTCTGACACTTTTAAGTAATGGGATAATAGGACTTCTGCAGCTGCAGATGACATGTTGGCACCAAGAAAGGGTGGCGGAAGAGCGTGCAATTGATCTCGGTCTGATCGTCCAAAATACTGAGCGTCAAAGGTATTGCCTTTTGATTCTAACATGTACAAACAACTGACCGAGGCTGCCACCGGAACTTCAACAATATTACTTGGCCGAACATAAGATACAAAGTTTACGTATTGAGCTCTGCAGTACTTGGTACAGAGAAGGCAGCGCATAAAACTCCCCCGAGAATTTTGCGTCAATAATGCCGTTGCATGCCCGTTGCCCAAGGCCATCGACCGGCAACATACTATCACCTGAGTTGTTCTCAGATGCGAACAGTCATTGATCATCATGATTGTCACAGTACATATGCTATTGAGTCTTTGCCTCTGAAGGTCAGTATAATACACAAGCCATACAATCAGATAATCGTAGTCATACATGTGCGTCTGCAGCCGAAAGGTACCAATACAGCACCATTGATGCAAATATTCTACTTTGATTGAAAACCTGGGTCTGGTGTCATGGCGTCTCAAGCTCAATCTAAATGAGGAGATTGCCAATTAGTGAGGCAATTAATACTGTTTTAAAGAAGGAAGTTTACCGAAGACAACGCGGTTCGATATTGCTCCTGGACATAATCCTCTGCCTCCTCCCAGAATGTCGCTATCTGCCCGCAGCTAGGGCACCAAAGATTGTTCTGGATTGAGAACAGTACGATGTCTTCTCCGTGGATGCCGGTCAATGCATCTGGCCGCGAGGCAAATGATGCCGATAGTCGTACAGTGACTTGTGCGTTCAGGCTTTTTTTCGCGCAATTTAAACAGGTCTTCCGCCGTGTTCTGTCTGGAAGAACCTCGGAGCACGAGGAGCACTCTTGGATAGATCCTTCTACGGGTTCATCATTGTACGTAGACCAGAATGTCCCCAAGCCCAGCTCTCGGTTTATCCTCCCCATCGCATCACTTTCTTCGTCTCGATATCTGATGAGCCGATAGTAACATTCCGCAGCTGCCTGCTCCATCTGTTTAGTATACTCCTTATGCAGGTGTGCATACCGCATTGTGCGCGACGCAGCTTCTCTGGCCAGATATTGGATGGGTGACTGGGCAGACAATAGATATGCCCGGAGTGGCTCTGGGCTAGCGAGCTTTCTCCACGCAGCTTTCACAGACTCGCCAACCCTATCCATCCCATACTGCACCGTCGCTTGAAGGAGAGTCTCCACTATCGTCATATCGTCAATCAGCTCTTCAGGCTTTTCTAGGGGGTAACAAAGCTTGAGGAGCAATGCAAGTATGCGACCGGGGATGTCGAGTCGGAGAACAGGCAGCCCAACCGGCACGGCAGCCTCCGTTCCTGCTTGCGTAGCTTTGTCAATCATGTCGCGAATGACAAGAGATGCCATCGACAGCACGATCCTATGCGCACGGAAATCTGTCCCGTCCGAAGACCGGCAAACAAGATCAGCATAGGGATGATCGAAGAACTGATCCATCGCTGTCTCAGACACGCTCGTGCTGGCGATTGGTTCCTTCGTCTGGTCATTTTTTGCCGGTGAAGATGCTCGATTGAGAAATGTGAAAGTGTCGTCCACCCGCCCATCCTGGCGACGGTACTCCAGAAGACGGAAGAACGCGCCTGCAAACACGCCCTCCATCTTCATCTCTGGCGGCATATTGTCCAAGATTGGCCGGTTTAACGTGTGCTTTGCAGCGACACGAGCCTCGTCTTCGAGTTGGAAATGACATGCCATAGCCCAGACGCGAAGTGGCTCTCTCTCAGAGAAAGAGCGCAACGCCTCTATCGCTAAGAACTTCGCTTGATCCATCTCATATTTGATGGATGCTTCCAGCACTAACTGGACATCCTTCAAGTCTTCCAATACCGGATCGATGACCGGATAACAGAACCGAAGGAGATTGTTGAGGGTTGTGCTATCCTCTGAAAGTATGACCACAGGACGTCCGTCGGTAGCTACGGTGTCCCCTACTTGGCTGAGCCTACGTTTGAAAAAAGGAGAGGCCTCGATCAAGATGACACTATGCACGCGGAAATCGATGAGATCGGAAGAGCGAAGGATAGTATCGGCCGCAGCATTGTTGAAGGGGCTCGGTGCATCAGCAGCTGGCTGCGGTGAAGAGGGAGGATCCATGGTTTGCCGATGATTCTGTGAACGAGGATGTGAGCGTGTGTTGCAGCCGCTGCGAATGCGTCCATCGTTGCAAACAGCAGATGTGATTGCCGGTATTTGCCGAGCGAAGGTTAATATTCGGTAAATCAAATTGTAGTAGAAAGTCACTCTAGTCGGAGGTCTGTAGATCCAAAGGCGCATATATTTATGTTCGCTACAAGCGGCGCATGCTTCGCATAGTATGTAGAAGCCTTTAACTGTAGAGCTCATCGCTACCTACAACATCAGGTCATCGATACTTTGCAAGGCTTACCAACATCTAACGAGAGACATACTACAACAATGAGAGAAGCATATCACGGTGAAAAATAAGTGCAGACATGCAGGGCAAAATATCAGCGATGAGTCTAAGCAACAGCAGGGTAACCTCGAGTTGGTGGTCCTCGACGTCAAAGGTCGCAACAAAGATCGTAGATGCATTACCAGATGGACCCCCCC